CGCAATTGCCTATGTCTGGCGTCTGAGGGACTGATTTCGACTGAGACGCTGGGCCTATGGTCACCTAGCAGTAGCTTCATGCTGAAATGCAGAGTTTCAAGGTCCTAAGTCATCGCGCCATACTTCCACCTTATTCTAGCCCACTATAAGTCAGAGTCTAATAGAACTCGACTCAGGAAATTCTCGGGTGTTTAGCGCTCAGAAACCATAGCCGGCTACTGCTAACCCTGAGATGTAAGCCCTGCATTCAGGGTTAAATGGGTACTTCCAAAAGGTCTTTAATGGTGGGATATAATGGCCATCCAGCAAATAAAGCATGTAATATTTAGTTTGGCCTTAAAGGGGACTGTACGAATTTATTTTGGAAATCAGCTTACCGTAAAATGCGAAAACACTAGGGTTGTGCTAAAAGTGACAGACTTGTACAAAATATCAGAGTTTATAAAATAAATAGGGAAATAGCTTTTCGTTTATAGGGAAATCTTCCACTGTATATTTTATTCATTTGTTCATTCAACGAACAGCACATATAACCGTGTGCAGGTAATTATGCCCGAGAGATGGGGATTCAGTAGTGAACACAATTGACCTTATGTTGACCATAAGGTCAACACAATTGGTCTTAAGTTTCTAGTATGTTGATACTTTGTCCTACTCATCCCTATGTCCTCAGAACTCACACATTTCCTAATATATAATAAAGTTAATTAAAAGTTATACTCTTAAAAAAAAGTTATAGGCTTGAATTTTTTTTTTAAAGGGACTTCCCTGGTGGTCCAGTGGCTAAGACTACTTACTCTCAATGCACTGAGCCCAGTTTCCACCCCTGGTCAGGGAACTAGATCCTAAATGCCCCAACTAAGAGTTCACATGCTGTAAGGAAGATCCAGGTGCCACAACTAAGACCCAGTGCAGCCAAATAAATGAAAAAAAAAAATTAAGTTATACTACTATTGCAAAATGAAGACTCAAAATGCATTCATGTGAAAACTACCTGCAACTTATCATAGGCAGTATGTGATATGGTTGCCAAAAAAGCTAAAGTTTGAAAGTTAGGCAACTTAAAGAGAGTAGTGTCTGGGGAATACAGTTTTATGGTTTTACTCTGTTTTGAAGCATTAAGACCACACCTGGAGTACTTTGTTCAGTTATGGGCACCATGTTCTGTAAACATCTTATGCAGGAGCACAGCCAAGGACAAGATAACTGAAAGAGAAAATATTGATAAATGACTACTCTGAAAAAAGAGTACTTAGGAATAACATGGCAAATAAATTCAAGTATTTTAAAGTATTGAAAGGCATATGTATATAGCTCTATAGGGTAAAGTAGGACCCCTGGATGGGATAATAATAGTGATGGTGGTGATGATCATAACAGCTGTCACTTTATTAGCTCTTTGTGACTAGGTATCTTATATTCATAATTTCTAATACAGAGTAACTTTGTAAAGCAGGTATTATTATCCCTAATTTACAGATGAAGTAAGTGAGACTAAGAAGAGATAAGTAACTTGATCAAGTCACCCAGCAAATTACATCATCAGGATTCTAACCCCATCTGCTTAACTGCAAGGCCTGTGCTGTTTTCACTGAACTACACTGTAATGACACAGGACTCAGATTCATGCTTCCTAGTAATCAGAGCTGTCTTGACAAAGGAAACATAGAGGCAGGATGACCATGTTGTCTGAAAATATAGAGGCAAGATTGTCTAGGAGAGTTCAGTTTGGGTGGGAGGTTAACAGCCTTTTAACTGTAAAATACTGTTGAGAAGTCATTTGTTTTATTTTACTTTAGGTGTTAGTTACTCAGTCGTGTCTGGCTCTTTTATGACCCCATGGACTGTAGCCTGCCAGGCTCCTCTGTCCCTGGAATTCTCCAGCAAGAATACTGGAGTGGGCAGCCTTCCCTTCTTCAGGTGATCTTTCCAAGCCAGGGATTGAACCCCAGGTCTCCTGCATCGCAGGCAGATTCTTTACCATCTGAGTCACCAGGGAAGCCCTTGTTATCCATAGAGAAGAATGAAAATATTGCCCAATGAGATTGGCATTCTCTTGCTTTGTATGGTTTTTGCAAAATAGATATTGTTTTGCATGTTAAATTTTAAATTCACAAATGAACGCATATAGAATTTAGAAAGATGGTAATGATAACTCTATATGCAAAACAGAAAAAGAGACACAGACTTTTGGACTCTGTGGGAGAAGGCAAGCGTGGGATGTTTAAAGAGAGCAGCATCGAAACATGTATACTATCAAGGGTGAAACAGATCACCAGCCCAGGTTGGATGCATGAGACAAGTGCTTGGGCCTGGTGCACTGGGAAGACCCAGAGGGATCGGGTGGAGAGGGAGGTGGGAGGGGGGATCCGGACGGGGAATACATGTAAATCCATAGCTGAGTCATGTCAGTGTATGGCAAAAACCACTACAATATTGTAAAGTAATTAGCCTCCAACTAATAAAAATAAATGGAAAAAAAATTTTAATTCACAAATGTAATATTGTTATGTATCTCATGTGTTTCATACTTTCTTCACCTAGTACCTGTGGTTTTATGATCCATTTACATTGCTATGTACATCAAACATGATGCTTCTAACTGAATAGTCTAATGGTGTGTATTCCCCACAGTCTACCCATTCACTCTCCCAGTGAAGACTCCAGTTCCCAGGACTTCCCTGGTGGTCCAGTGGCTAAAGCTCCATGCTCCCAATGCAGCAGGTCTGGGTTTGATCCCTGGTCAAGGAATTGGATCCCACATGCCACAACTAAAGAATTTACATGCTTCAACTAAGACCCAGTGCAGCTAAATAAATAAAAAGACTCCAGTTCCCAATAACACTGCAGTGATCAACTTCTTACATTCTTCCGTGAATGAGAATATATTTGGGAATACACACCTAAGACCGTATTTGCTGGTTCATAGGCTATTAGGGACACTTAACTGGACTGCGCCTACAGCTGCTAGGTCACGTCAGTCGTGTCCGACTCTGTGCAACCCCATAGACAGCAGCCCATCAGGCTACTGTCCCTGGGATTCTCCAGGCAAGAATACTGGAGTGGGTTGCCATTTCCTTCTCCAGTGCATGAAAGTGAAAAGTGAAATTGAAGTCGCTTAGTCGTGTCCAACTCTTCACGACCCCATAGACTGTAGCCTACCAGGCTCCTCTGTCCATGGGATTTCCCAGGCAAGAGTACTGGAGTGGGTTGCCATTGCCTTCTCCATTAATTGGGCTATATAGAGCCAAATTGCAGTACAGAAACACCAGGACAGTGTACACCTTATCACACTACTCTACCACACTCAGGGTTACCAAACTACCAGCCCCCCTTTTATTTTGCCAATGTGTATATTTTACTTTGTGCAACTCCAACCCACAAGGATCCTGCCCTTTGTTAAACTACTCTGCCCCTCTTACCCTCTGCAGTCTGTACTTATAACACATAGCAGGACAGAGCTAGAAATATTCTACACATGTCTGTGCTTTCTGTTCATCCCATTGCCATTTTTCTCTCAACCCTAATTGCAAATAAGTCATTTGAGGAAATTTATTTTTAAAAAATGGTGCCCAAGCTTTACCCTTAATTTAATAAGTCTGTGGATTGCGAGAGCTGACTCATTTGAAAAGACCCTGATGCAGGGAAAGATTGAGGGCAGGAGGAGAAGGGGATGACAGAGGATGCGATGGTTGGATGGCATCACCGACACAATGGACATGGGTTTGGGTGGACTACGGGAGTTGGTAATGAACAGGGAGGCCTGGTGTGCTGCGGTTCATGGGGTCGCAAAGAGTTGGACACGACTGAGCGACTGAACTGAACTGAACTGAAGCCCTTGGAAATGGTAATTTTAGAAAGTCCCCAGGTGGTTCTAATCTGCAGCCAGATTTAAGACTGCTACCTTGGAGTCTGGATGCTCAGTGCCTTCTTGCTGACCTCTGCTATCCAGATTCCCCTCTAAGCCTACCTTGCCTTCCAAAATCTAGAACTATTCAACAATCCCCACCCCCATCACCACCACAATCCTCTATTTTCCAAGGTTCCTCTGTCCATGGGATTCTCCACGCAAGAATACTAGAGTGGGTTGCCATTTCCTTCTCCATGGGTTTCTTTCCCAACCAGGAATCAAACCCAGGTCTCCTGCATTGCAGACAGATTCTTTACGAACTGAGCTACAAGGGAATCCCTAAGAACAGCCAATCAAAGCTGAAAGCTAAATGGAAGTAAAGTGATCAACTGATTAAATATCTATCAACTATTTGAATATCTGATAGCCTTAATCCTAGGTCAAGAGGTCCTGTGGAGGTGGGAAGGTTATTTGTATTTCAGTTAGCAGGAAAGATACTATTTTAGCTGGGAGCTAAAGAATGTTCCCGTCCTGTCTCCACCATCACCTTACTTCCTTGTCCTCATAAAAGATCAACAGTCAGTTCTCTATTTAGGGAAGTTTGCTAACCCCACTGAGGCTATATGCTTTTGTGCCTAAGTAGAAGGAATCATTAACAGTGTGGGTTCCTTCAACAGGCACGCCCACTGTCACAGGCCAAAGCCATTCTTTTCTGGATAGAGCAGTCCCTTTCAGGGCAGTTCTGTGGATTGGGGGTGGGGTGGAGTAATGGTAAACCTGCTGAAAAGAGCATTTCAGGCAAAGACATTTTATAAAAATTTTGTTATTTATTTTTGGCCATGCTGGGTCTTCCTTGCTGCACACAGGCTTTCTCTAGTTGTGGCAAGTGGGGGCTACTCTTTGTTGTGATACTCCGGCTTCTGATTGCAGTGACTTTTCTTGTTGTGGAACAGGGGCTCTAGCTTCAGTAGTTGTGTCACATGAGCTCCATAGTTTTGGCTCCCCATCTAGAACACAGGCTCAATAGTTGCAATACATGGGCTTAGTTGCTCCAAAGCATATGGGATGTTCCAAGACCAGGGATCAAACCCATGTCTCCTGCACTGGCAGGCAGATTCTTTATCATTGAGCCATCACGGAAGCCCTGGCAGGTGGATTTTTAACCACTGGACCACCAGGGAAGTCTCAAGTTGCATTTGATGGTGCAGTTTGAGAACCAAAACAAGATCAGGGTGGCTTTAGAAGAAGAGTGGCACTAGATGAGGCTGCAGAAGACAATAGCAGGGGCTCTATAGGCAAAGCCATTATTCAGCCAACATACACTGTCAGGTGAACCAGCTGACATCCTTTCTAACTGGGGTCAGTGCCTGTGCCTTACCAACTATAAAATATCTTGACTTTCACTCCAGGTTATATGCCAAATTAAGGAATTTGGACTTTATTGTGAGGGCTGCAAGAAACTACTGAACATTTTTTAAAGCAGGGCTGCAGCATGGCCCGATTTGTAATTTTGGAAAATCTCTTATAGCTGGAGACTGGGAAAAGGATTATGAGGTTGCTGAAATCTTGCTGAGAGGAATGACGGAGGTCTGATGAGGGAGGTGATGAAAAAAGAAAGCAGATAGATTGCAGGGATGTTGAAGAGATAGAATCTGTAGGACATAGTGATTAATTAGATATGTCATGGACGATGTTAAAAGGATGTGTCAAAGATGACTTCTAGGTATCTGGTTCAGGAAACAGGATGAATGAGGAGTGCTATTTTTGAGACGGGGAACAGAAAAGAAGGAACAGGTAGTGGGAAAATAATCAGTTTTTATGGGTTTTTTTTTGGGGGGGGGGAGATTGCTTCAAGATACCTGTGAGACTTCTACATGGATTCAGACATCAAAGAGGCAGTTGGATATTCAGAATTGAAGCTGAAGAGAAAGCCCTGGACTGTAGATAGGGATCTTCAACATATAGGTGGCAATTGAAGGAAAGGATGAAGTCATGCAGGAAAACTGCAAGCATTGTGAAGAACAGCAGGTCTAGGATGAAATTCTGAAGAACGTTAAGATTTACAGGATGAACAGAAGAAGAGCCAGCAACAGGAGTCCAAGAAGTGACCAGAGAGACAGGAGGAAAACCTGGTAAGTGTGAATCATGGGGGGAGGCAGATGCCATACTGCGGTGAGTTGAAGAGGAAAGGTGAGGAAATGGAGACTGCTGAGTCTCTTCTTACAAGATATATGGCTATCCAGGGAAGAAGAGACTCTTCTCTTCACTGTGGTTAGAGGTAGAAATAGGGGAGTCTAAGAAGATATAGTGAAATCCAGATGCAAGGATTAGCCTTCAGTGACAGAAATGGAGGGAGAGAGTATGGGTAAGGCAGGTGGGGTATAGAGCTGGAGGAGAAAGGTTGAAGAAATGCCTTTATGATGGAAGGCATTATGATGCCATTATGATGGAATAGGCAACAAGCAATCTCTGCCACACAGAGAAAAGAGACATTTTTTTTTTTTTTGCATTTTCTGCCCTTCTGGATTATGCTTATCCCCTTTCTTTCATTCATTAGCACAAACAATCAAGAAGCAGCTTTACTTAGATTCGATTACTGTTGTTCTAGACCAGTGGTTCTCAGCTGGGGGCAATTTGTCCCCAGAGGATATCTAGCAGTACAGTATTTGTGTTCCAGGCCTACATCAGGGAAATGCTGTGGAGGACACAGGATACCTCCTCCTTTTTAAGAATATGTTCTTAAAGTCCTGTAACCGTGTGACCTTGGGCAATTACTTTAACTCTTTATGCCTTATCAGCAAAATGGGGACCCTAATAGTTCCGATCTCATTGGGCTGGCCTGAGGATTCATGGAAAATCCTTAGAACATCACCTGGCATGTAGTAAGTACTCAATAAATGTTAACAATTAATAGCTCTAAATTTCATATAATTTGCAAATACAATCAAGATGGGCTCAGTTTGGACCTTCTTCCTGAATAATTTAGTCTTAAAACTATTACGCAGGACAGAACAAAGTTGGTGTCTATGCTGAGAGATGATCTGGCATGGGGTGTTGGAGCCCAACTGATATGGTAAGGGCTTCCATGTGGAGGAAGAAGCGAGCAGCAGTGAAGGGAGACGTTGTATACGTACATTCCCTAGCTCTGCCCACTGTGAGGGCCTTGGAGCAACAATGCTGCTGCATTGTACTTAGTTATTCAGTCATGTCCTACTCTTTGTGACCCCATGGACAGTATCCCAGCAGGCTGCTCTGGTCATGGGGATTCTACAGGCAAGAATACTGGAGTGTGTTGCCATGCCCTCCTCTTGGGGATCTTCCCGACCCAGGAACTGAACCAGGGTCTCCTGCATTGCAGGCAGATTCTTTACCATCTCAGCTACCAGGGAAGCCCTGGAGCAGCAATACCCAATAATAGTAACTAGACTTAGCATCCAGATCTTAGCTTCTAAATACTATTCTCCACTAAAAGGAATTAGTGTTCCTTGGGGAAATAGCTGATTCTAGGGCTAGGACAAGGAAAATACAAGATGAACCTAGAAAATTTTGTGCCAGAACACAAGGAAGTACTCAAAGAATAATGGAGATATGACTCCCAATATACTTAATGATTCGAAAAAGAAAAGAGTAACTTCACAGTGGGGAAGACTGGCAGACATAACTTTAGATCAAGGTGAACATCAAGAATTCTCTGGCCATCCAGTGATTCGGACTCCATACTTCCACTGCAGGGGGCACAGGTTTGACCCCTGATTGTCGAACTAAGATCCTGTACAAGACGTAGTATGCGCCGCCCCCCCCCCCNCGAAAAAAAAACAAAACAGTGAGCATCATCAGGAATGGGGCAAATTGTAATTGTGTGCCCCTGATAGTGATAGGGATAAAATAGGATAGATATACAGATAGCTGTAGAAGTCTCAGTAGGACTCTATAGAGAGGGAAACCTGGGAAACTTTGGGAGACCACTGTAAATTAATCACTCAAGAAGGTTATCGGAACCTTGTGGAATGAAGCAAGCTTGTCTAACTATAGAGGGGCTTCCCTGGTGGCTTAGATGGTAAAGAATCTGCCTGCAATGCAGGAGACCTGGATGCAATCCCTGGGTCAGGAAGGTCCTCTGGAGAAGGAAATGGCAACCCACTCCAGTAGTTTTGCCTTGGAAATCCCATGGACAGAGGAGCCTAGCAGGCTACAATCCATGGGGGTCACAAAAGAGTCGGACATGACTTAGCAATTAAACAACAACAGTAATATGACAGTCCTCGTTTGACCTCATAGAGTCAGACATTCTCCTGCCTGATACAGAGGAGGAGCTAGTGATGTAAGCCTGATATCTACTCGAAGAAGGCAGTCTTTTCTTTTCCTCTCTTCCTTTCCTTTGACTATTAAACTGCAGCCCACTTAATCCTCAAGGCAGAGCTTCCTCACCTGCCTGCTTGCATTTCTTGTAAGAGTGCTATATTAATAAATTTATTTCTTGCTTCTCACTTTGCCTCTCACTGAATTCCTTCTGTGCTGAGACACATAGAAGCTGAGCCTCACTAAGACCAGACATCAGGTAAGTGATTCTAATTAAAACACTGTGGGCTAGAGTCTCCAGTAAGGTTTTGGCTGGGTTTGAGTCCCGGCACCCATGGGTTCAAGTCCCAGTCTGAAGTGAATGGTTTAAATAGAATGCTGTAAGAACAAAGGTATGGTGGTGACTACCTCCAAGATGACCCCCAATAATTCTTGCCTCCTGTTATTCACATCCCTCCTATAATGAATAGGACTGATTTGTGTAACCAATGAGATACTGCAGAAATGATGGAGGGTGACTCCCAAGCCTAGGGTATACAAAATACTGTGGGTCTGCCTTACTCACTTGGAGTACTTGCTCTGGGAGATATAAGGCATTTAGTTATGAGGAACCCCAAGCAGCCCTATGGAGAGTTCCATAGAGCAAGAAACTGAAGCCTTCTGCCAACAGTCATCACCAAATAGCCAATAACATTTGCAAACTCTCTTGGAGCAGATCTAACAGTCACAGTTAAGCTTTCAGGTTATTGCAAACCCAGCCCACATCTTGAACACAACCTCATGAGATGCTGGGTAGAGCACTCAGCTAAACTGTTCAAATTCCTGACCCCTATGAGATAATAAATATTTACTGTTATTTTAAGCTGTTAAATTAGAGGGTTTTTTGTTATGTGGCAATAGATAACTAATACAGATTCTCCTGCAGGTAGTCTAACCCACAGTCTAAATGCATTTATTAACAGTTCAGTTCAGTCGCTCAGTCATGTCCAACTTTTTGCGACCCCATGGACTGCAGCATGCAGGTTTCCCTGTCCATCACCAACTCCCGGAGTTTACCCAAACTCATGTCCATTGAGTCGGTGATGCCACCCAACCATCTCATTCTCTGTCTTCCCCTTCTCCTCCCGCCTTCAATCTTTCCCAGCATCAGGGTCTTTTCCAATGAGTCAGTTCTTCGCATCAGGTGGCCAAAGTATTGGAGTTCCAGCTTCAACATCAGTCCTTCCAATGAACACTCAGGACTGATCTCCTTTAGGATGGACTGGTTTATCTCCTTGCTGTCCAAGGGACTCTCAAGAGTCTTCTCCAACACCACAGTTCAGAAGCATCAATTCTTCGGCACTCAGCTTTCTTTATAGTCCAACTCTCACATCCATACATGACTACTGGAAAAACCAGAGCTTTGACAAGAGGGACCTTTGTTGGCAGAGTAATGTCTCTGCTTTTTAATATGCTCTCTAGGTTGGTCATAACTTTCCTTCCAAGGAGTGTCTTTTAACTTCATGGCTGCAGTCACCATCTGCAGTGATTTTGGAGCCCCCAAAAATAAAATCTGCCACTGTTTCCACTGTTTCCCCATCTATTTGCCATGAAGTGATGGGACTGGATGCCATGACCTTAGTTTTCTGAATGTTGAGTTTTAAGCCAATGTTTTCACTCTCCTCTTTCACTTTCATCAAGAGGATCTTTAGTTCTTCTTCACTTTCTGCCATAAGTGTAGTGTCATCTGCATATCTGAGGTTATTGGTATTTCTCCAGCCTGTGCTTCATCCAGCCCAGCATTTCTCAAGATGTACTCTGCATATAAGTTAAATAAGCAGAGTGTCAATATACAGCCTCGACGTACTCCTTTCCCAATTTGGAACCAGTCTGTTGTTCCATGTCCAGTTCTAACTGTTGCTTCCTGATCTGCATACAGNATTTGGAACCAGTCTGTTGTTCCATGTCCAGTTCTAACTGTTGCTTCCTGATCTGCATACAGATTTCTCAAGAGGCAGGTCAGGTGGTCTGGTATTTATTAACAATAGTATCCAAATCAGAAACCTTTGTCCAGAACAGACAAAAAGAGTATTCATTTGGTTATAAAAAGATAGCTTATGTGTTTGTTGAATATTTTTCCCAGCTTCAGATATTAATGATTTTCATGCTGTAATTCCTTTATTTCTTTGCTTAAATTTGTTAGACACTATTTGACCCTCCCTTGTTTTATAGATTTTTAAGTTTGTATGGGTTGTTTTCTCTTCAACAGACCTTTGTCCAGATCCCATCACTACCATTCCTTCAAGCTGATGATGTCTTTATCTGGCTGCTGTCATTTCCCAGAGGTGGGAATTCCACTATCCCAAGCTAATCTCTTCCTCATAGTTATTAAGTGGACACATGACCAAATGCTACTGCTCGCCAGTGTCTGTCAGAAAACTGTCCCAATCATGTCCCAAGTGTCAGAGGGCAAGGCATCTAAACTTTGTCCCCCAGTTCCCTGGTTCTCCCTGCTGGTGCCAGTGCTAGTCTGAGGGTCTGCCTCATTCGTAGTCCTGGAGGTTGACCCACAGAATCACTGTCATGGGTCAGGCTCAGCAGTCTAGGTTTAGCAGGACCAGGAGGAAAAGGTGCACATAAAGCAGTTTGTCCAGGCCCTAGCTTATGATAGGGACTCGGTCAGTGTTAGATGGTGGTGATAATGATGATAAAGACTGGACAGAATTTTGTCAAGGACTGGAACACAGAGGACATAAAAAATTTTGTATACCAAGATTTGACTTTGAGGCCTTAACTTGAATCTCTGTATGGAAGAATAGTTTTTTTTTTTTTTAATTTAACTCACCTTCTCCAGGACGTTGAAGTTAACAGAATGAGGTGCTCTATCACCCAATACCGGAGAAGCAAAAAGGGCTGTAAAGCTGGGCTTTTGAAAGATCTAATTACTTCGTTATGAGGGCTCACTTCCCAACATTCTCCCCATTTCAGTCACCTGTCAAGGAGTCTGACTGAGGGAGTCCTTCAAAGATGAATCTCCCAATGATAACTGAGAGATCATGGCAGGCAGGACTGTAAGAGGATCTGAGGATAGGCTGGGGGATGGAGGTGGAAAAGGAGAGAAGAGACTAGTAGAAGGATTTGCTCTGCCTCTCTCTAGGGTCAGAGGGTACAAAGGCCTCACACTGACATGGGCAGGAAGAAAGCCAGATGACAGAATCAGAGGGCTGCTGTTGAATCCTCAGGTTTCTTTGTGCTTGTAACACTCTTATTCAAGTCATCATTGTTAGAACGGCTCGCAACCAAACCCTTTGGGGCACAGACTGTACTGCCCCCTGCCTTTAATGACAGGGCTATCGTTGATGGCAGTGTTAGCTCAGAAACAAAACAGCGTAGCTGCCAAAACCACTGATGAGACTTCTTGATTCTAAACATCTGAGTTCCTGAACAGAGCTCCTCTGTGGGTCTCCCAGTGATAACTGTGAGAAACCAGAGAAAGGAGGCAACTCAGAGGCTTCCTGTAGACTTAGTTCAGGGACAACAGGATGACTGAGGGTTGATTCCAAAGAGTAGGTGAATAAATCCTGTTCAAACATTTCTGGAGCCAGAAAAAGAAAAAAAAAAAAAAATTCAAGTTCACATTCTTCTCCCCTTCTCTACCTCACTAAACAGTCAGGGTTTGGGTTGATGAACACTTTATTATGCTGTAAGAGAGAAAATGGTAATTTATTTCTATAAAAAGAGGCAGACAAGGTAGAAAGCTTCTGGTGGAAAAGAAGAGATTTGTAAAGATGGTAGGAGAGAGTTGGAGAGGTCACCAAGAGAAAGGAAACGAAAGAATTCTTGCCTTGATCCAAGGTGTGTCCCACCTCACGGCCTTGCCCTTGCCTTCACATTCTGCCCTTTTCATTCATAGTTTGTTCATAAACTACTCTTTCCTCCCCCCCTGCCTCACCTCCTCACCCTCCAGGCACCAGAGCACCCAGTTAATCCCTTCAGAGCAATTGTCACAATTTATAATTTTTTAAATTAATGTACATTTTGTTTATTATTTTCGGCTGGGCTGGGTCTTTGCTGCTGTGCACAGGCTTTCTCTAGTGAGTGAGTAGGGGCTACTCCCTGGTTGTGGTGCATGGGTTTCTCATTGCAGTGGCTTCTCTTGTTGCAGAGTTCAGGCTCCAGGGCGAGCGGGCTTCAGTAGTTGTGTTATGCATGCTCAGTTTTTGCAGCCGACGGGTTTAATTGCCCCGTGGTATGTGGGATCTTCCCAGACCAGGGATGAAACTCGTGCCCTCTGCATTGGCAGGCAGATTCTTAACCACTGGACTGCCAGGGAAGTCCACAATTTGTTGTTTCCTTTCTGTGTCTCATTTGTCTCCCTTGTGAGACTTTAAGTGCCATGAAAGCAGGACCCAGGGATATCTTGTTCATCATTATGGACCCAGCACATAATAGGATAGGTGCTGAATAAAGACTTGTGAAAGGAAGAGAAGAAGGCAGAGAGATTTTGGTGGTGAGAAGCTTATACAAGAAGGTTTTAAGGAATGATATATGGTGGAAGTTCCCTTTCCAACTGTCCCTTTAAGAGACTACAGACTTAAATTACCCTTCAGTGCTATTTAGAGTCAAATTTGTGTTTAGAGAGAGAGAGAGAGAGAGAGAGAGACTTCATGCTGGCTACACGGGTATATACACTTCGGAAAAATTCATTGAGCTGTAACCTTATTATCTTGTGCACTTTTCTGTATGTATAGTACACTTAAATAAAAATTACATTTAAAAGAGAGGAAAGAAAGAGGCCAAAGCAGGCAAGGGGCAGGTGTAAAACCCAAACACAGGTGAGGAGAGGAGGAGAGAGCACAGATGAGGTCAGGGACCAGGGTGAATTAAAATAAAGACAGGAGGAAGAAATGCAGTCAGCAGGTATTAAAGACTGAAGGTAGAGGGAGAGTGAAGGAGCTGAGGGCTGCCTGTGGTCAGATTAGTGGCCTGGATGCCAGGGCACAGGGCTTGGCATGTATTTGAGGGCAGTGTTCATAGTTCATGTCAATGGTTTTCCTTTCTTGGATGAATAATAATCATCTGGAGACCTTGTTAAATAGCAGCCTCACAAGCCCCCTATTCAGAGATTCTGATCAAGAAGATTGGGTGGGGCCCATGAATCTGCATTTTTAACAAGTTTCTCAGATTATTTAGTTTAAGATTATCTTCTGTTTCTCATAATTGAAGAAATAGAACACTCTCTCACTGTCCCATTTGGCCTAGGAGACTGGGTTCTTGTTAGATATTTGTTTTTCATTATCTATTTATTTAGCTGTTCCTGGTCTTAGTTGCAGCATGCAGGATCTAGTTCCCTGACCAGGAAGCAAACCCAAGCTCCCTGCATTGGGAACCTGGAGCCTTAGCCAGTGGACCACCAGAGGTCCCATATATTAGCTGATTTTGATGAAGATCAAACATTGTATCAAAGGGAGTATGACTTTGAGGCTAGATGTCCTGTTTCTAACTTAGATCAGAATTTAGATTCTGCTGGGACTTCCTCCGTGGTCCAGGGGTTAGGACTCCGAGCTTGCCCAGGTTTGACCCCTGGGTATGGAACGAATATCCCGCAAGCTTCGAGACCTGGCCAAAAAAAAAAAATAATAATAATAATTTAGATTCTGCTACAGAAATATATTTTCTGTATTTATAATTGTTCAGCAGTTTTCACTGGTTTTGTGGCAAAGAGCATAGACAAGCTTTGGAACCAAAACCTGAGTTCAATTCCTGGAACTGCTATTTAACTTCTCCAGGCCTCTATTTCCTCAGCTGTAAAATGGGGGTCTACTTCATAGGATTATTTTGAAGATTATATAAATTACTGAGTGAAAGCACTGACCACAGTGATTGACTCATGGTAAGCTCTCATTAAATGATAACAATGACCTTTATTCCCTTTGTAGTCCTCCTCTCCTAGCCCTTCCTCCTGCTATCTTCTTCTCCAAACCTGAGTAATAGAAATATCCAGAGAAGTAATTGGGCCTTAGCTTTGTAGACAGGAGCCAAAACATCTTGCAGCCTGTTATTGTTGCTAATGCCCAGGCAACCTGGCGGGCTGAAGTCTAGCCTCCATAGACCTCAAGCAGCATCTGTGTGGGAGAGGGTTTTCATTGAGACTTGGGCCTATCCCCAGATTTTATTAGTGCTGGGTCTAGTTTATATTAGGCCCTGAATTTGTGACTCTGACTTAGTTAATGAGTTAATGTAGTTGTGCCTCACAAGAATATAGGTCTCCTTACCTTGGATTTTCTCTAGCAGGATGTTGATAAATCAGTGGAAACGAGGAAAATTCTTCTAAAGTGTCAGGAGGGCAAGATTCAGGATTATCATCTTTTCAAAAAACAAAACCAACAAGCTTCACTCATTGCCCTTCACCCATGCAGCTAGAGTGCCAGTGCCCCAGCCTGTTGGAACTCACAGGCTGGACCTGACAAGCAGGCAACGGCTAGAAGATCACTTAGCAGCAGAACAACTCTTGCTTGCCATGGCAGGGCTTCAGCTAGCAGATCTGGCAGTTTATTTGTCAATATTATTTGTTGTTAGCTTAATTGTTGGAAAATTGAAAAGTGTAATGCATAGGCGTGAAACCCTTAAGGCTGGTTAATCTTTTTGGATTGTAACCAAAGTAATTTTTATTAGCTGATCTCATCTTGATTATAATATGCAGACCCCTGGAAAAGCTGCTGAAGGCTCCAAGTCATGGTGTGCACAGGGAACCAACAGTCTCCATCATCTGCATTTTCTGCCAAGGAGAAAAAAGGGCAGAGGGGGCTGGATGAAGAGTTGGATTTTAACTCAACAACAGAAAAAGCAAACAACACAGTCGAAAAGTGGGCAGAAGACCTAAAGAGACCAGAGAAGAAGTACAGATGACTGAGAGGCACGTGAAAAGATGCTTAACATTGCTAATAATTAGAGAAATGCAAATCAAAACTACAGTGAGGTATCACCTCATGCCAGTCAGAATGGCCATCATTAAAAAGTCTACAAATAAATGCTGGAGAGGGTGTGGAGAAAAGGGAACCCTCCTACACTGTTGGTGGGAATGTAAGTTGGTACAGTACCTGTGGAAAACAGTATGGAGACTCCTCGGAAAACTAAAAATAGAATTACCATATGATCCAACAATCCCACTCCTGGGTAAATACACAGACAAAACTATAATTCAAAAAGATACATGCACCCCCATGTTCATAGCAGCACTGTTCACAATAGCCAAGACATGGAAGCAACCTAAATTTCCATCAACACATGAATGGATAAAGAAGATATATAAAACAGAATACTACTCAGGCATAAAAAAGAAAACAATGCCATTTACAGCAACATGGATGTAACTAGAGATTATCATATTCTATGAAGCCAGAAAGAGAAAGACAAATACCATATGATATCACTTATATGTGGAATCTAAAACATGACACAAATGAACCTATCTATAAAACAGAAGCCGAAATACAGACATGGAGAAGAGATTGGTGGTTGCTAGGGTGGTGGGGGAAGGGGAGCAGAGAGGAATGAATTAGGAGTTTGGATTAGCAGATGCAAGCTGGTTTAAGTAGAATGGGCATCCCTTGTGGCTGAGAGGTAAAGAATTCACCTGCCAATGCAGAAGACACGAGTTCAATCCCTGGGTCAGGAAGATCCCCTGGAGAAGGAAAGGGCAACCCACTCCAGTATTCTTGCCTGGGAAATCCCATGGACAGTGAAACCTAGCAGGCTTCAGTCCATAGGGTAGCAAAGGAGCCAGACACGACTTAGTGACTGAAGAACAGCATATATAGAAAGGTTAAACAAGAAGGTCCTACTGTATAGCACAGGGAACTATACTTAATAACCTATGATAAATCATAATGAAAAGAATATGAAAAAGAATGTGTATATATATACATATATATATGAGTTACTTTGCTATACAGCAGCAATCAACACAACATTATAAATCAACTGTACTTCAATTAAAAAAAAGAATTGGGTTTGAGATGCAACTGGGGAGAGCAGCCTTCAGGATGGATGTGGAAATGATCCTGGCAACCCCTGAGGCCAAGCTGCGTTAGTCCTGTGCCTTATATGCTGGAGGTGTCAGGCCCAAGAGTGCACTGCAAAGAACATTTGAGTAAAGACTGTGGTTCAGAATTAGGATCCAATAGAGAAAATAGAGACAAATCCAAGAAGCCAAAGAGAACACCTGTTCTTTCCATCAGCATTGGTTTATTTGTGATTATTTGGAGAAGCTCTCTTCTTCAGTTTTATAGTTCAGATGTGGTGGTGCCAAGAATTGGAATTATATCTGCAATTTAAAATTTGTGAGGTATGATTCTAAACAGTCTCTGTTCCTTCTCTAGACTTTCATTTTTCTGCACCAGAGACAGGGGAACACGTTCTCATCTGCTCTACTTTCTCACTGAAACATGAGGGGGCCTCCGTGTCTGCTTTGACATATCCAGGGAAGGAAGGGGCTTTGCTTTCTCTTGGGTATCTCTGAATACCCAATCCAGCGATGAGCCTTTTCAAAGGGTGAAGTTGGGGCCAGAAACACTGAAATTCTACTGACACTTGATGGATGCCCTTGACCCCCAACCATACACCCCAGCAAATGAGTTAGCAGCTTATTCTAGACAAATAGGGAGTCTAGAGGCAGCATGTGGGCTTTTTTCCCCCATAGCCCTTTTATGAATATAAATATTTAGTGCATGGTGTTTTGCAGAATTAAATCCTGAGCCTAGATGAGCCTGGTAATATCATTATGTAGATGCCAGGGATGAGCTACCTGTGACTGCTGTGTGTCTTCTCATTCAACGATGCCTGTGATGACTTGATGCACTTTCATTTGCCAGGGCAATCATTAATTGCATATGAAACAGTTGGTGTTTGGCTTTAAGGGAAGCTGATTGGGTCAGTCACCGAGAGTTTGGCTCAATGATCTACAGCTGGCTCTTTGCTCCTGCATGCCTGCTTTCTTCTCAAAGCATTCTTACTCAGTGTTTCGGGGACCCCCTGAGGAAAAGGCTGTGAAACATAGGGGGTTTTAATCTGTGTTTTCCTTTGGGCATTATAGCTTTAATTTTAATATTTTGGATAATAAAGAATGATTTAAAATTAAATTTGCGAGCCGGCCATCTGTGATTGTTTGGACTTTTTCCTCCTCTCTGGCAGGTTTCTTACTTTATTCTTTCTGAACATTACTAAGAGTGGGTTGAGAGCTGGAGGAGCAAAGGGGAGCAGAGTGCATAAGCCCATGGAACATGGAGAAATAGAAAAGGCTTTGATGTCTGATCTTTTACCATGGGGGTGGGTGGAAAAAACTTGATGACCTGAGTCAAATTCATAGAAGTTAATTTGGATGCAATTGTAATGTCCTGTCATCTCCTCTTGATTTGACTTGAGAAAGTAATTCGCCAAGGTTAGGCCTCAGTTTGCCCATCTGTTAAACAGAGAGGTGATTTTCCCCACAGAGGTGCCACTATAGTTTGGGGACAGTTCTTTATCAGAGGACAGCTAATGGAACACAAGGCATCATCATCCACTGAAGGCTGAAAGGGTCTGAGAGCTTATGTTTGTTTCCAAATCTAAATCCAAGAAACCTACCTAGAAACATGTCCTTCATCTAGCCAGTGAAATCCAGGATGAAGAATTTTCAACCTTCCCAGAGAAGTGAGGACACATCATCACCACCACTGTGGACCACAGTATAATGAGTCAGACAGACAGCGCCACTGAACACACAGACAAATGCTGAGCGAATGCCAGAATAAAATGAAAAAGTACCTGCCAGCAGACGAGTTGGTGTGATGAGTGGTTTAGCTAGGGATGGCGGCAGGGGGAGGTTGCGCGGCCAGGCAAGTAACACTCCCTCTCCTCTAAAGATTGGAAGGAGGCTTCTTGAAGGGGTCAAAATTTGCATTTCAAGAAATAGGGGCAGTTTGAGGAGCTGTGCTGGGAGAGTATTCCTGGCAGAGCGCGTGGGCCCTCTGAGCTGACTGCAGCAATCGGGGCCTGGGGGGCTAAGAGGGTGAGTGGAGGGAGGTAGACCAGGGGATGGAAATAAAGCAGGCAGGGGCAGCAAAGCCACCTTAAATGCTCTCTGGCACCAGAACAGGTTGGAAACAAAAACCCTGGGAAATTGCTGGAGGTCTGAAGCTGTGTGTGGGTCACAGGCTTTGTTAGCATCAAAATGGTTCCTTTTTTATCTGCTCATTCCCCATGTCTCTGGTCTCTCACCCCGCATTCTGCTTTGATCAAATCAGGGTGGGGATCCCAGGCACCTCCCTATACAGTGAAGGGCCAGAGTCATTCCTGCATAGGTCAGAGGGCAAAGGTTATGAAATGACCTTGAAAGTATGCGAGGCAATATTCATGGCTCTGAGCAGGATAGAAGCTCAGGTGAACAAGTATTTATCATGTTTTTAAGACTTCACGTGAGCACCCTTTGTCCCACATGACTCCTAGACTGATAAGCTTAGACTCTATCAATCTTGCACGCTCTCTCTCTCTCTCTCACACACACACACACACAGATTCCCTCTCCTTTCCCTCTTCTATCCTCTTTAAAATCCCTGGTTCACCTAAATACAACCTTGGTATCCCCCCAGTAGTAGAAAACAACCCCAACAAGTGCCTATGAAGAAAGCCTTTAAGACTCATGAATATTTAGCTCGTCCTCATGTAAAATATATGACTTTGTGTAAGGATCAGGCGAACGAGGTGCATGATTTTTTTCTGATTTATGGGCCTGGAGACGGATTATTCATAGCAGAGCAGCTGTGTGGAAAGATTCATCCGCTGCAAAATGTGATTGTACATCAGGCAGTGTGTGGGAACGGAGCTATGACTAATGGCTGCTTTACATATAAATGAGAAGGTTTGTGCTAGGAACTGTAAAAAAATACAATCACTCAGCTGACGGGCAGGCTCCTTATCGCGGGTGCAGGAGAGGGACCACAGGAAAGACAGGCATGTGAATGCCTTGCCCCCAAAAGCTGAGCCAGATGGGGATGAGAGTCAGGGAGCAGCCGGGTGAGGGTTTGGAGGGAATTTGGAGAAACGGCAGCTCTCCTGACTCGGGCCATCATCAGTTCCTGTATTTGTAACTTTCAGGTTTCACTGTGACCAGACAGCCCGTCGGGGACAGAAAGGTGGCCCAAAGGAAGTGGTTGCATTGCCAACCCACTCAGGGATGATGGTCAGCTCCTGGACCCTCCAGAGCTTGGTGTTAGCTTCTGAAGAGTCAGATCCACTTCAGAAGCCAGCACAGGAGTCATTTGGGCAAACCTCTGCAGAGAAAAATTATGTGATTCTGAGATTTCCCTCTGCCACTCCTCATGTCTCCCTCACTTTCCCTCGTTCGTCTCTTCCCGTCTCTCCCCTCTCTCGTAGCTGAGACAGGCTGTCTAGACATTGCAGATGTGGACAGATGTTGGGTCTGTAATTTATAACAATGGCCTCCAGAAGGCAATTCCAATTTGTTTCGGTAAGGCTTTGAGTTACAGGCAGAAAAAATACCCTGTAAATACCGTTGACTTACATGGTAACTACACCAAGGGTTTACTAAGTGAACAAACACTAACTACAGCATAATTACACATCCCCGCAGATTACCAGAGAATTTAACGACGCTGAGCAGGGAATGACCACCAAATAGAGTTTCTGGTATTGGAAGGGCCTGGAGAGCCAAAGAGTTGAGCCATACTTAATAGAATTTATGTCTATTTCTTTAAGTCATCAATTATTCTCCTTTTTGAGGGCCTTTGAGTTTTATCTACATATTAGACATCCCCTTGCTGTCATACTGAACTCCAAGCAGGCTGGATGCTGGTGGTTACTTTGGGCTGACATAGCTTTTTGGTTTTTTGGCCATGCCGCGTGGCTTGTGGGGTCTTAAGTGTCTGATCAGGGATTGAACCTAGGATCTCATGGGTGAATGCTCAGACTCCTCATCACTGGACTGCTAAGGAATTCCCTAGGCTGACAGTTTTGAACCATATGGTATCTGGAGGAACACACAAAGCCCTCAGACAAGCCAGGAAGCTGGACAATTATCTTTGCTGTTATCACAATGGGTCTTGAATGCAGCAGTAGGGCTGAGCTGCATCCACCCACTTGCACTCTCTCCTGCTGGCTGGTGACTAAACAGCTGTCCGGGCCAACAGAGAAGAGGACTGGCCCACCCAAGATCCTGCTAATCCTCATGGGGACTACATTCTGATCTGGTAATTATAAGGGGAAACAGAAAGGTGAATTTCTAGAATCACTTTTCAAGAAATTCAGGATGCTTCTTGCTATCATCTGAGGTGAGGTGTTGGAGAGGGGAGGAGGAGGCTAAGGCTAGTACCCAGAGAAGTTAAGTGATCTGTCATGATCAGAGTCTGTTGGTAGCAGAAGCCAAATTTGCACTTGGGGTCTGCCATCCCTGAGAACTCTGACCAGCTGGCCTCTCTGGGTTTAGAGGATCAGAGGCGGCCAGCAGCTGGGACGCTCAGGCTTCCCTGGATATATAAGATTGCAGTTGAAATAGCCATCAGGGTTTCATTTATGTCAGTCTGGGGGAAGGGGAAGAAGAGTGGGAATAAAAGGGGGGAGGAAAATGTGGAAATCAAATAAACACATTGACAGGGTTGGATTCCAATTTTTAATCCATCACCAACCTCCTCTAGTTTATGTGTTCCATAGAATCTTCCTTTCCCCTCTTGCTTGTACAAAAACAATCAAACAAGCCTTAATTCACTTCTGGTACAGACCCCTGGGTTTCCACGGACCCTGAAAAGAATGCCTGGTGCCAATTTAAGGGCAGATACTGTCTGGCAAATCCTGATTCTTTAGGATAGTTGAGTTCTCTTTCATCCCCACCCTTCCCAGCCTCTGCTACTGAATGCTCTGTATCCATCCAACTTGAATGATATCTTGCTTCACCTGAAGAAGTGGGTCTGGTTTAGAATGTCAACCCCTGGCAGAGCCACAAAACAGATCACTAGCTGGAAGGATAGGCCACTTGGGCCAAAGGAAAGGAGTTCAGGTTATCAGGTGTTATGATTGCAACTGCTCCTCCCTGGTGGACACTGTCCAGTGGGTCTGGCTTCGGTCCAGTTTAGGAGGAAAGATGTCAACTGCAGGAAGATGGGTGTAGGAAACAATTTGGGTCTTAGAAGTTTAGGGTTTTGAGTTTTCCTGGCAGTCTATTGGTTAAGACTCCATGTTGCCATTGCAGGAGGTACAGGTTCCATCCCTGGTGGGAGAATGAAGATCCCACATACCAAGTAGTGCAGCAAAAGACTTTAAAAAAAAGAAGTTTAAGGTTTTGGATTTTGGATGCGATGTCTAAAGATACTCTTGAGACTTATTTTATAGAAACTTAAAAATATGATTGAGTCCTACCTGCCAGGGGTGTGTGAGATTTTTGTCCTACTGAGAGATATAGATGAAAATGGCCTGGAGCCCTCTGACCCCAGGAGGTCTTTGTAAGTGCACCAAGTCTCACACGGCTCTCTGGAAGGAGTGGATATGGTTACTTGTACTTCCAGCCCTGGGAGGGCTGTGGGGAGGAGGGACGCCCTCTGGTCAAGGAGGACAAATGAGCTATAATAATGTTAATAGCTAACATGAATTGAGAGATTACTGTGTGTCAGGCATATATTATCTCTTTGATGATACATCCATGCATTAGCTCTTTGATAAAGAGACATTTACCCACTGCCAGGGAGCAGAACTTTCCTCAAAATAAGAGGAAACACATGGCACACAATCCCACTCTGTGGCCTGCCAGCAGTAGCTGGAAGGTCATGTACAGTTTTCAGGAGTGGCAGCTAGAAGCAAGAGGGAAAGACAGCTTCAGGGACCCATGTTCCCAGGTGTCTTTCAGGGAGGGAATGTTAGGTTACAGACTCAGGTGTCTCCAGAGAACAGATATCACTGGGATATGAGAGAGCTAATGAAAGAATGAGTTTACTGATACATGTGTATACTTACCTGAACACAGGTCCACACTCAACATCCCACATAGATATATATCATCCTGGTGAGTAAATATCTCTGAATCAATGGAAAAGACAACACAGCTTAGGCACAAGAGCGAGAGTACAAGATGTGGTTGATATGTACACATAAGAATGACATTTTAGCTTCCACAAAGATACCTTCCTAGACTTTGTTTTGATCATACTGTTTCAAGACATTTTTATTTTTGGTACCACCAGGTAGCTTGCAGGATCTCAGTTCCCCAACAAGGCTTGAACCCGGGGTGCCCGGAATCCTAACCAGGAGGCCACAATGGAACTCCCTCTTCCTAGACTTTTGATAAGCTAACCTAAGCCTGGAGTGTTGGAGGAAGACAGGGCAGGATTGGGAAGGGTTCACCTTGGGGGCATTTCCCTAGATACAGTAAGGTCTGGTCTTCTCTAAACCTAATCTTCCTGCCATGGCCAAGCCTGGTATCTGAAGTGTCATGTGTATCTGTAGGAAGGCTATGGATGTTCAGACGAGGGTCTGGGTCAGAAGGAAGCATAGATTCAAAGTCCAACCTCAGATTATTTTTCTAACACTGACCAGAGCCTGAGAGCCCCAAAATTTTGTTGCCTGAAATAAATAATAAACAGCCCACGGGTTTTGGAGCCAGAAATTCTAGGTTTAACACCTGTCCCTTCTACCTATTAAATTCTCATTCACTCGTTCACTCAATAAATATTTGTTAAGCATTAACTGTGTGCCAGGTGTGTGACCTTCTAGGGCAAGTTACTTATATCAGTTGGCTTCGGTTTCCTCATCTGTGAATCAGGGATAATATAATCTGTAGGAGTCACAGTCATTGTGAGGATTACATGAGATGAAGTGCTTGGCACGTAATTGATTCTAATAAATGCTTCTTGTTGTTATTAGCACTGGTAAGAGAAATCCAGTTATGCTTCTTTAATAAATTTGTTTTCTTAAGGTTTTTTTTCCCCATAGATGTCTGAGCTGTGTCTAGGGGAAGTCTGGGAGAATTTTGTATAGCCCAGGAAGATCAACCCCTCCTCATGGGGGCTCTGATACGGGCCCAGGACATGGCTTGTCTCTGGAGTAAAGCAGCATAGGACATGTTTAGCACCCTGGTTGCTTTCTGTGCTTGCCTGTCCCCTTCCCTGGACTGTGAGCTCCTCAGAGGCAGAGACTGTGTCTTCACTTGTTTAGCCTAGTGACCACAGAGCCTCTGACGGTGCCTGGCACTCAGGAGACATTCAGTAGGTGTTTGCTGAATGAATGGAAGAAGGAAGTAGCAGGGCTTCTAGCCTGTAATGGTTGTGCAGACCCCACATGCCTTCATTCCACAAATACTTATTGAGCGGCTACAGTGTCCCTGGATGCTGTACCAGGTGATGGAAGCATAAGGGTCTCTGCCCTCATGGAGCTCAGAGTCCAGGCTGTAATCAGATGGTCACAAAAGGAAATTTCTCCTTACAGTATGTGGTCTGTGTTGTACAGGAAGGAAATGATGCTAGAAAAGCCAAGTTGACCAAGTGTGGGTAGTCACAGGAGGCTTTCTCCAGGCCCCAACATTTCAACTGACATCTGAAGTGAGAGCAGGAGTTAAAGTCATGCAGGGGTAATGCTGCGCTGATAGGCATCTTCCAAGGAAAGGAAGCCTGTGCGCAACCCCAGTGGCTGGTTAGAATGTGGCACATTCAGACAATAGGAAAAGACAAATGTGGCTGGAGCACAGTGTGAAACTGAGAGTGTAGGGCAAAGTCAGAGATGTGAGTTCTAGTCTTTGTCCTAAGAGCAAGGGGACACCATAGTGGGGTTTCAAGGTGAGGGTCGATAGTAGTGAGATGACCACTATCTGGCTGAGTTGAGGGGGCAAGAGGCCACTGGGGGAGACCAGTCAGTGGGGTGCTGAGTTAGGTAGGCAACAGATGGCAGTGGCTTTGGACTGGGGTGGTGGAGACAGAAAAGGATGGATGGGTGAAACACTAGAGTGGAGGTGAGAGAGCTAGCAGCTGGTCTTGTCCTGCAGTGCACACAGGAGCCCAAGGGGCCATGGATGACTCCAAAGTTTGTAAACTTGCCTCTGGTGTCTGCCTGCTCCTTGCTTACTTCTATTAAAATTCTCCTTTCTCACAAAACCAAGAGTCTGGTTCTGACAGCCTTCGGAAGCGGATGGATTTCCACCTCCAGAGAATGAGAGAGACTACTAGGGGCCCTGCAGTATCTGGGAGGCACCCGGAGGGTCATTTTCCCAACGAACCAGGCACTCATGTCTCCTCCCAAAGTCACCCAAACCCAAAGACACACATACTCTCTCAGATTCTCTGGCTCCCCAGACTCACAGACTTCCAAACACTCCCTCCAGACCACTCCATCCTACCCTTATTTATCCCTGTCTCCCCCAAAGCCCTCCATTGGCCCCCTTTCCCACTCTTCTCCCTACCCTACCCCTGCCCCACCTCCCTCTGCCTTCACTTCACCCTATTAAGAAACAACCATCCCTAGAACCCCTGCCCCTGGCTGCTGCTCCCTGAGTCCCGCCCGCCCTCCCTCCTCCTGCTCCTCTCCCTGACAGATGCCTCAGAGCCCCGGGCCGCAGTTAAGGTGACGAGATGCAGCAATTCTTTATGAACATTTCATTCCTGCTCGCTACACGACGTAAATTAGATGGTGTGTTACATTCGGGCAATAAGAGAGATATGTCACCACGACGCTGGCCCATTGGATGGAGAGGGTAATCCTGCCGTGAATTTCATTACTGCTTTTATATAGACAGAATTAGCTCGGTGACAGCGAGCCTGATTGTCTTTCACTAGGGGTTTGGCGAAGAGCTGAAAGGATTTCACCCTGATGTGCACACTACTGAGTGACCCGCTCACCAGCGGCTCTGCTGATTGCTTTGCACCTTGCAGACCCGCGATTGGCTCAGCCTCTCTGCCGGCTCGCCTCCCTCCCTGGTCTCCAGCCCTCCCCGCCTGACTTTTTCTTGAAGCAAGAAGAAAGGAGACCTAATGGAGGAGTCACAAGGTCATGAAGGGAAATGTGTGGGGGAAGGGCGAGGTGACAGAGTTTTTTAAGAAAAAAATCAACAGTCCCTTTCTGAACAGAGTCTCCTAGACAGAACTGTGGCCACTCACTCTTGCCTCCCAGAAGCACAAGAAGGACCAGGTCCTGGGGGCACACGCCCATGGCCCTCAGGGCAAAGAGCAACTGGGGAGAGGCTGGCAGATCCTCATGAGCATCCCTGACAGAAACTCCCAGGCTGCCATCAGCTTCCCATCCGTTTGCCTCTCACATCTCTGGGTCTTTCCAGTGATGGCTCAGGGCTCTTTCCCACCTCCTAGCCAGGGACACTTGTGAGAAACCACTGTCACTCACAGCCCGTAGACCCCTCAGTTCAAGTGTGCAGGTGAGGGAGGGGTGTGGACTCACTTCACTCTACTTCCTACACTCACCTGATCCTGTCACAGCCCCACCCCAACCACACATATTCATAACACTCTTCAGAGACTTCCAGAATCCTCAGTGGGATCTAGATGGCCCAGCCCAGGGACTGCATTCCTTCACCTTGTTTCTGTCAGGATGGCTGGTTCTGACAGAGAGTCAGTCCCCTCTCTGTTCTCTCTGCCTTGGTATCTCTCACCTTCTGTCACCTTGTCCACTCCTTTCCTCACCACTGTCAATCCCTTAGCAAACAAATGTCTTCTGCCAGGCTTTCCTGATGTAGCTGGTTGGTCCTGGGGCTGAGGCTGACCATGACTCGACCGGTACTGACTGTTCTGTCCCATTTTAGAAGCTCCCAGGGAGACCCTCAGAGATTCCACTCCTTGAGGACCAGGGACCAGGTATCAAGCAGACAGAATAATATTCTCAAAGCCCCATTTCTTTCTATCAGCTCAACACAACTGTCAGGAAGTTTCTCTCACAGCCCAGATCAGCCAGGTCTGTGACTTCTGTGCTAAGAATCACAGCCTCCCCTTCCCAGGGGCTTCCCATGTGGCAGAGTGGTAAAGAATTCATCTGCCAATGCAGGAGACGCAAGAGACACGGATTCAATTCCTGGGTCAGGAAGATCCCCTGGAGAAGGAAATGGCAACCCACTCCAGTATTCTTGCCTGGAAAATCCCATGGACAGAGGAGCCTAGTGGGCTACCAGTCCATTGGGTTGCAAAGAGTTGGACGTGACTGAGCACACTCAAGCGAGAGCTGCCCTTTCTAGAGGGGGAGGAAGCTCCCTAGACCCCGGCAGAGCTGAGACTTGGCTCAGGATCTGTCTGCATCCTGACTCTGTCTGCCCAAGGACAGTATGGACAGCTTTCCATTTAGCCTCCCACTTTGGGAACCCTTAGCTCCAGTGGCCTGTCCTCCACGGAGACTCAGTGAGAGTTTCCCTTAATGATCTGCTCTTGCAGTCACTCAGAGGAGTTTTACACTGAAATTTCTTCTCCATGAAGCCAAGACTAAGTCTACGAGGCTGAAACTAAACTCCAACCCTACCTGTATGACAGCAGTATGAGTAGGCAGTTCATGACATCTCTCTGAACTTCCCTTTCCTCAGTTTCAAAAGGAAAAGTGGTCATTGCTGTGGTGGAGGCCATGTTGCAAAGCCACGCTTCCCTCAGTCCTCAAGGACTATCTCCAGGTGCCTCCCTGGCCTGTCAGCTTTCCTTGGAGTTGTCTCTGCCAAAGAGAGCTGTTGCGCTTAAGGTCAGGCCCTTCCCCTGGGCAGCCTGCATCCAGCGCCTGGTCACCCCAGCCATATGAAGGCCCAGCCCCCTCTCTCTACTCCAGACAGTTCTGAAGGGCCTTGCAGCCTCAGAGCCCTCCATGTGGTTAACTAAGGCCTTTTTTGAGTAGCGTAACCCAACTTCTCCTCCAGTTCAGTCTTGCTTCTTTCCAGTTCCTTCCTTGCACTGGCGATAATCCCAAGGGCTCCCCAGTGAAGCTCCTGCACAGTCATCTCCACCCTAGAGTCCACTTTCAGACCCAACCTACAGACAATTCAACTCCTGCCTACCTGCCAACTGGCCTACCACAAGGAAGAAAATGTCAAGTGCCCTGAGAAACACAGCTGCTGCTGTTTGCCATCATCATCATCATCATTGTCCTCTTCATCATCTCCACAGCAGGGCCTGCCCAGCTGGTGTGATGAGGTTCACTTACTTCGGCCAGGAAGTCCAGTAAATGAACACTCAGCCTTCTTTTTTCTCCTAAGGACAAGGTCCTTTGCATTCTTTTTTTCATCTTCTGATTTGAATGACCTTCCCAAACAGACCAGACTCCCTCAGAAAGCTAGCCATGGTCCTAAGGATCTAAGGGGCTTAAATTGCTGTAGTTCTGTTACGTCTTATTCTCTGCACCAAGACTCAGAGAGCTAAGTGCCTACTGAATTCTTTCTCTGACACTCTCTAGATGCCTTCATAGCTGGGTTTCTTCCTCTTTTATTAAAAAAAATTTTTTTTGGCTGCATTGTGTGGTTTGTGGGATCTTAGTTCCCCTACCAGGGAATGAACCAGTGCCTCTGCAGTGGAAGCTTGGAGTCTTAACCACAGGACCACCAGGGAAGTCCCTACTCTTTTATTTAAAGTATGTACTTTCCTCCTTTAGACCAAAGCATCCATCCTTAAGGTATGATGACAGGTCTCCTACAACCAAGACTTCCTTCCCTCTATGTCATGTTTACTTGTTTACAGCCCCCTTTATAAAGAGAACCTGGATCCCTCTCTCCCAGGGGACAGGCAATGGTCCCAGATCATTGTTACCCTTCCAAGTATGCCCACACTGTCTCATTACTGGGTCCTCAGCCTTGCCAGCATTTTGGAGTGGAATGGTAGGTAGGGACACTGCCAGGTGAGTCAGATCTCCAAATCAGTCCCTGTTTCTGGGCCCTGCCTGACCCAGAACCTGTGCTCCTCAGGAGTGCAGTGTACTTCGTCTCTTCTGGAGCTTTCCCTGCAAGGCTGCAGACACTGATCGGGGAGCCAGGGACATGGGGGATGGAGGTTTCTCACCCCATCCCCCATTCTGACGTCACAGGCCTCATTTTCTGACACTAAATGGTTGCCATGGAAACAAGTTCCTTAAAGTGCACGATGACTTGAGTGGGGAGGGAGGGCCATAGGAGCCAGTCATACCATGAGGAATCCACAGAGCCCCTCAGAATCAAGCTGCTCAGAGTCCATATCCTCTGCTGGTACGTACTCCTCACATATAGGAGAAAAGTCTGTCTTGCCTTTGAGTAGGGAGATCTTGCTGCAAAATCAGAGATAGTTTAGACCAAGAAAAGCCAGCCAGTTACCCTGGAACAAATGGATATTAGATGTGATGTGGGCCTCTCTCCTTCAGTCCTAGAGCAGAAGTTATCTATTCTAAGAAACTGTCCTTAACTATCCAATCTCCCAGCCCCATTCCCAATTCCATCACACACACACACACATACACACTCCCCTTACTACTTACTCACTCTAGTGCTTACACCTTCTTTCAGTCATTCATTCATCAAGTACTGATGAGCCTCTGGTGTGTGGTAAACCCGGTGCCAGGCCCTAGGGATACAGCCAGGAGCTGACAGGGCCCTGTCTTATGGGGCTTCCTGTCAACATCTTATACCACATCTTGTCCTTCTACACTCACACACTCATCCCTTTAATAAGCATCTCTGGGTTTTCTTTTTTCATTCCAGTTCCCCAAATGTGGTGTGCTATCTGGTTGTTGGTAGGGTGGAGTACAATTTGCTCATTATCCCTTTGTACCCAAAGGCTTTCCAAGAGTGGAAACCTTAAACCTATTAATGTATCGATACATCCTTGCCTAACACTAAACCCAAGATTTGGGGCCCCTTAGTCTCCTATGTTACCCAACTGTTCCCAGTACCAGCCTTCCAAGGAGCCTGGATTCTTTGATTCTCTTTCAAAGCCATGGAACTTTGAATGAATAGGACTTGAGGATAGGGGCAGAAAGCTGTGTTTGTGGTGTGCCCACTGGAGCACATACAAAGGCCCCAGATACACGACTGGGCTCTCATGCATCTGTGTCCTGCCATCACACACGTGTGCTTATGATGGCCCATATCTGTGACTTCTCCTAAATTGGCCAGTGCAGGGTGTGAGCTCCACTTATGAGCGTGAGTGAGCATGTGTTCAAGGGAAGGGGAATTTAGGGGTATGTCTCTATGTGTTTTTTCCAAATGCTTGGCTTTTTTCAAAATGGCTTAGAGCACTACTGTCATTTATGGGGTTTAAAATGTCAGAACAGGGCCCTCGGGGAGGCAGGGGAGATTAAACTGCAAACAGTGAAGGTTATAGATGACGTTTCTGATAGGCTGACAGGCAGACTCAAATGATGCCACACTTTAGCAATCATTTAAGCACATACATTTGTGCGTGTGTGTGCACACACCCAGATCAATGCTCCATATTTTAATGGCATATTCTGAAGGCTAAAAACATAAAAGGCCAAGTCCAGAGAACCACAGTTTTTCTTTCAGAGCCCAACCAACTGCTGTCTGTTGTATGTATGTGTGTGTATGTGTGTCTGTGTTCTCACTCAAGTACCCCTAGAGTGCTAAGTGAACACCTGCATCTATTTGTGTCTGTATAGGTTAATTCCACCTCACTTTTAATATAATGCCCTATATAATTAACAAAATATACTACATTCAACAGTCTACCTGAGCAACATAACAATTTGTATAATGCAGGCAGGGACGAGTTACTACTTCCATTTTACAGATACAAGAAAATTAAGGCTCAAAGAGGTCTGATGGGCTATGCAAGACCACCAGCTATGAAATGATAAAGTGAGAGTTAGAAGCACTGTCTTGTTATACTTATCCAGAGCTCTTTTCTTGAGGTTGTGGTTCTCAACTCTGGCTACATTAAAATCCCCTGGGGACCTTTTAAAATCCATCAGCGCCTGGGCCCTACCCCTGGAGATTCCAGTTGTTCAGAAGGTGGTCCTTGTAGTATGTTTTTACATTTTAACATGCAGGCTGGTTGAGAACCACTGCCTCCAGGCCTGGGGGAATCAGGCAGGAGCTGTGAAGAGGGGTGTCCCAGGTGTCTGACTAGGCTGATATTCCCTCCATGTGAACATGGATTCCAGTCTCTTTCCTCCTCAGTATCTATCACAGTATCAATTCCCCAGAAAGACTTACTTCCCAGGACTGTCAGAGCCTTTATTTCTTCTGTATCACCCCAATTCCCCACCCACTTCTAGACTGTGAAGACCTAAAAAGGATGCTCAGCTCAGCATGATGAATGAAGAGGCTACCGGCCATGTGCTCATCGTTGTGGCCACACGGTTAGGGGCAGACAGTGTGGTCTCACCAACAGAGAGGAGAACCAGCTCTACCTGGCCCGTCAACCAGGGGATGGCTAGAGAGATGAAGGGCAGCTGCCTTAGTGATGTAGGGAGGGATGAAAAAAGGAAAGAGAGAAAGACAGAAGGAAGGGAAGAGAGAAGAGAACAGCGGGCCCCTTGGAAGGCTGTATGGATCAGCTAAGGGCTAGAACCATGGGCAGTGCTCACCTCACTCCACCCTTGGTGGTAAAGGTGGGCTAGCAGTTAGGAGCACAGACTCAGTAGTCACCTTCCTGGGCTTGAATCCTGGTTTCTGGTTACTGGTAGTGTGACTCTGGGCAAGTACTTAACATCCCTGTGCCTTGGTTTCCTTATCTCTAAAATGGCGATGATAATACTGGCACCTGCCTCATCAAGCCTCTGGGAGGATTCAGTGAGTTCATGTCAAGTCCCCGACTGAGCATGAGTGCTGGGTAGAGTTCAACCACTGTTATTCTGCATCATCTGATGCTTTGGAATTCTCCCTCCTCGAAATTCTTCCTACCTTCCTGAATATTCCTTCTCAGTCTTTGCTAGCCATGTTCCTCTGCCCTCCCTTTGAGTCACTGGTTCTCAGCCGCAACTCCATTTTAGAACAACCTGAGGGACTTTTGGGCTTCCCAGGTGGCGCTGGTGGTAAAGAACCTGCCTGCCAATGCGTGAGACCAAGAGACCCAGGTTCAATCCCTGGATTGGGAAGATCCCCTGGAGGAGGGCATGGCCACCCACTCCAGTATCCTTGCCTGGAGAATCTCATGGACAGAGGAGCTTGGTGGGCTACAGTCCATAGGGTTACAAAGAGTCCAATAGGACTGAAGCAACTTAGCACACATGCACGAGGAACTTTTACAGCTCATTCCCAGAGTTTCAGATCTAGTTGTTCTAGGGTGGGGCCCAGACACTGGTGCTTTTCAAATTCCCTGACTCATCAAAATGTGCTGTCAAGGTTGAAAACCACACACTCCTCTAAGTGTTGACATTCCCTAAGACTATTCTTGGCCCTCTTCTCTTCTCATGTCTTTCCCAAGTAGCGGACCTCCTTCCCATGGCCCTAATACACGTCCATATACTGGTGACTCTCAAATCCATATACCCTGACAAGGCTTCTCTCTTGAATTCCACACACCCATTTCCAACTCCTTACCAGACATCTTTATTTCCAAATGTATGGATATAAAATTGTTCTTAATAGCCTTGTAACTTCCAGGGTATCTTTGCTGAGATGTACTCTGGATCCCCCAAGTGGGTACATGTCCCAATCAGAACTCAGTATTTTGCCTTCACCCCAAACCCCTTCCACTCCTTCTGTTCCCCACCTCCCCACCTCCAACACTCCCAATCATTCACCCAAGGATGTCATCCAGGAATCCTCTCCCCCATCACATCCCACCTCCAACCAGTGGACAAAATCCTGTCCATGCCCTTGTAAGGCTCTCCCTGGTCTCAGGACCTCCAACCCCACTGCCATAGCTCAGGTCCTCTTTGTCTCTTGCCTGCACAGTTGTAGGAGCCTCCTTACTGACCTCCCAGCCTCCAGTGTTTCTGGCTACATCCCTCCCTCCATTCTCTTCACCTTCTTCAGAGCTAGTTTTCTGAAATGCAAATCATTCCACTGCTAATGCCCCTATAAAAGCACAACTGCCCACGGCCCTTTACTATCTGTCCTCTGTCCCCAGCTTCCCCCAGAGTGACCTCTCCACCCCACCCTCTGTACAGCAGGTCTCCAAATGTGCCATGCTGTTCGATGCCTCAAGGCTTTTGTATATGCCATTCCCCTTGCCTTATGGGCCCTTCCTTCCCTTCCCCCTTCCATTCTGCCCACATTTGCAAATTAGCTGAAGCACCAGTTCCTCTAGGAAGTGATACCTGTCTCAGGTAACACAGGTTAGGTTGAACTGACCACTGTTTTGTTTTTTGTCCTCACTGCAACCTGTAGTTATCTTTGTTGTCTCTCTGTTTTACTTCCTTACTTTCATGCCTGCCTCCCCCACTGGTTTTTGACCATATGGATGGGATGGACTATGTTTTATTTGTCTTTGACAAGTGGGGTGAGGAGGGAGGAGACCAGACTCTAAGTTCAAGTTCCCTTGGCTGAAACACTTCTTTAAGCCTGCTTTGGCTTATGGCTCTGGATATTGAAGGGTAGCTTCCTTCTTCCGGGAGCCAAGCAAAGAGGCTAGGTTTGAGCAAAGAGATCCAAATAACCCACTGGCCAGACACTGTGGTCCTAGGTTCCTCCTCTGGCTCTGCCTCTCCAGGCCCCAGAGCTGGGAGTTCTGATTGTCTCACCTTCAGGGCCCAACTGAGGTGAGCAGTCTGCATTCCCTTCTTCCATCTGAGATCAGGCTGGGAATGCCTCCAAAGAAATCTTCAGGGAGAAACCAAAAATAAATAAATAAATAAAAGCAAAGAGATGGATCCATAAACACTTAGAAACACAGAAATGGACAGAATGCAGATGTCTGATTCTAATTTGTCAACCCTTCCTTAGGGAGCACATCCCAGAGTTGCCTTCTGGACACTGTCACCCTTGCCTAAGACAGGGCATTCAAAAGCCCCTTCTCTCACCACTCTTACCTAGCAAAGGGGCTAAGCGGGAATTCTAGTCCCACTCCTCTGCTAGGTGGGCAGCTGAAAAGGTGATAATTTAACAGCCAGGGAAATTAAAGCAAACCCTCAACCTCCACAGAAGTGAAAGGTCAAGACCATCAATGGTCTAGAGTAATAGAAAAGGTCAGGGCCCAGAAAATAACCCACAGAACAACCCCAGTGTTTGCCTCATTCATGGCTGGATGTGCCATGTCTGATCCTTAATCACTAATACTTCTAGAGCCTGTGGCATACGTCAGCACTGTGCCAAACACTAGATTAGCCTGAGTAACCCTTACAACAACACTATGAAGCAGGGACTATTATTACTGCTGTTACAGATGAGGAAACTGAGTCTCAGAGAGGCTAAGTGACTTTTCTAAGGTCACAAAGCTGGTAAGTACCTAAGCTAGAACCCAAATTCAGTCTGACTCTAAAAACCCAGGCTCATAATTTCTATGATGTACTGCTTTATATATATGGCATTATTCAATATTTGGTAATAGTAATAATAATAGCTAACATTTATCGAACAATGTGCCAAATACCGTGTTAAGCACTTTATACACATTATTTTGTTCACTAGATAGGTACTGTAATTAGTCTCATTTTGAAGGAGTCTTTTGGGCCTAGAAAAGAGAACAACAGTCTCAAAGGCCCCTTGCTGAATCATCTAACTTCAGAGAAAACAAAGCACAACTTTAGTTCCATCTGATGCTCCAGGCCAGTTGCATCTATCTGGGACTTATCACCCCCTGTCCGGAAACCTACCACCCCCTACACCCGCCCAGAAGACTTATCACCCCCTGCCCAACTACAAGTGTCATCTCAACAAAAGAATATTCAAAATATCCCGCCTGATTGACGTTTCCCTTATCGCTTCCACAAACCTCCCTATAAGTATGAAGCCTCCCTGATCCCTTTCGGCGCTCAGCCTGGTCGTTAGGCTGACTGTTGCCCCTCCTTACCTGAATAAAGGTAACCTACTTCTGTTGAGGTCGTCTTTCCTTTTCTGCCTCGCTGGAACTGTACCTTACACATTTTATAGATGAGGACACTGAAGCTTAGAGAAGTTAAGAGCATTGTTCACAGCCTCAAAGCTAGTAGGTGAAAGAATTGGAATACAAACCCAGGGGGATGGATAAAGGAACCACCAGCACAGACAACCCCCTAACTAGCACTACCACCATCCTAGAGAATGTCCAAGAAGGCAAGAGAAGGCCTTTCCAGGAGCTCTGACAAGGTGGCTGACACCTTGATAAAGACTGTCTGTGGACTTTTATTATTTTTTACTTTTTGGCCACACCCTATGGCAAGTGGGATCTTAGTTCCCCCGACCAAGGATTGAACCTGCATCCCCTGCATTAGAAGGCAGAAGACTCTTAACCACTGGACCACTGGGGAAGTTCCCTGTCTCTGGACTTTTAACACATGTCCTGGCAAAGGCAGCCCAGCCTGAATAGCCAAGTGCACGCACAAGGTACTCAGAAGTAGCCCTAGAAGGTTGGGCAGGTTCTCCTTTTCCCCAGGCTTCTCTAGAGTATCCTCTCACCAGTTGTATGTACTCACAATAGTCTGGCACTTGGAACCTGATTGGGTTTGGGGCCCCCAGTATCCAGAAGACCGCCAGGACTCTCTCCTAAGAAGGCAGTTTTCAGCTCTCCTTGCTGGATGCTTCAGTTCCTGATGGGAATCCTCACAGAGAGCCTTCCTGTTACCTAAGGAAAGAGAAAGAGAGAGAAGGGAGACAGCCAAGTCCTGGCCTCCCCTCCCCATCTCATCACCTTCCCAAAGCCTTGCAGGCCACCCCCACCACCTCCAATCCCACAGAGTTTCTCACCTTCAGGCAAAGGCAGATGATGACAGAGGTGGGGAACAGAACTTTACTGAGGCCCCGGAGGACTGTCTTTAGTCCTGTCTTTAGTAATTAGGGAAGGTGAGTCCCAGAGGAGGAGGAAGGAGAGACTGGGAGAGGAAGGCTGAGATGCTCAGAGATGCAGAGATACAGATGGAGAGTGACACCAGGAGGGGTTTGAGAGAGAGACAGGAGAGGAGAGCACCAGGGAGAGAAAGAGACTGAGGAGGGTGGGAGAGAGGCACAGAAAGGGGGGAGGGAGGAGAGAGACAGAAAGAGCCAGTTGCTTTATTCATGGCTGGTGATATTATAGACTGAGTGAAAATCACATTATCGTAATGGGAAAGTTAGAGTTGCTGAGATGATGCCCTGAAGCCTCAGCGCTGATTGGGGTGTGATTGCTATCTGTATTTATATGTAGAAAGCAAAGTTCACTGCCAGTTCAAGATGGTGGCGGCTGCTTTATGCAACATAATTCTTCAGTAGGGAGACGCCCCGAGCTAGCAGAGCCAGCCGTGCCGGGAGTGGGAGCCGGAGCCTGAACCGGAGCTGACGCATGAGCGAGCGCTGGAGCAGGCGGTGGAGCCCGGGCTGGAGCCGCGCGAAGCTCAGCCTGCGGAGGAGGGAGGACGCCAACCGGAGTGGAAGCCCGGGCAGGACCAGCGTGTGGTCCCAGAACGGGGTCTGATGGAAGGCGGGAGGAGAGGGGGGCGCGAGAGCCTGGGATGCGGACCAGGAGTCGCTCTCAAATCCTCCATCCGCCAGGCCAGCCCAGAGCGAGGCCCGCTCTGGAGGGAGGGCTGGGCTAGACCTTCAGAGGCTGGAAAGCTTGAACCGGCTCTCCAATGGACCCCACCCCGCCCCCATTGTATAATTCAGTGCGAAACCGGACAATAAATGTCACAGTTTTAATTTTTCCCGTGATGACTGCTTAAGTGCCTTTTTGCCAGCTCACATTTCTTGAAATTTTTAATTTAATTTAAAATTTCTTTCATGGTTCCCGGCTGTGCAGACCTATGGTCTGCCGCTTCCTACTGAGCAGCCCATCTCTCCTGATTGATGAAGGGGTGTGACCTCTGACACCCCCAGGGCAGAGCGGGCTGGGACGGGGGGCGGGGCAGAAGGTGAGCCCAGATTCCAAGCCCTGCCCTGCTCTGCGAGGCATCAGCGACAATCAGCAAGAGAGAAAAGGGCAGCCTAAGCAGTCTTCGCAGCCTAAGCAGTCTATTAAGCTTAGGCCACCATTTGCTGCTGCTGTTTAGCTGCTAAGTCGAGTCTGAATCCTTCGAGACCCCTGTACTAGAGCCTCCAGGCTCCTCTGTCCATGGCGTTTCCTTTTACATCAGGCCTGTATCCCCCAGGGCAGGGCCGGGCCCCACCCTAGAGTTGCCAGAGAAAATGCTGGGTGCTCCGTTAAATTTGAATTCAAATACACAACAAATTTAGCAAAAGTGTACCCATGCTTTCTTGGGTATTTATGCTTAAAAAAAAAACCAAACTATTGTTTATTTGAAATTCAAATTTAATCAGATTCACCACATAATAACTATGTGACTTTTAACTTCCTAGACCTTCAGTTTCTTTTATCTGAGTACTGAGAGAAAGTAAGTAATACGTTCCTCAGAGGATGATTGAGATATAGTATGTAAAATACTCAATCCAATATCTGGCACAAAATAAACACTCGGTAAATAACTACAAAGTTCTTACCCCCTTATATAACCTCTGAGGCACCCTTTAGTCCTTCCACATTTCTATCCTAGCTTCTTGGAAGTCAAATGAAAGGCTTGTATCAGGATTCCTACTCTGGAAGCTGCTGGCTGAATGGGGGATCCCAGGGGTAGATCTGATCCTACTTTGGTCCCCCTAGGGGCCTTACCCTACAGGAGCCACTGAGAGTTCTAGAAGGCTGGTTACCAAGGTGGAGCAGGAGCAAAGAACAAGTCCTAACCCCAGACCCAAATCAAACCTCACACATTCCCAGCTACCTCTTCTAAGCTTCGAGAACAAAAAAGAGTCTACCCTTCTTTGGGCCCCCAAGTTTTCCTTTCTCCCAGAAAGATGGAGAATGGAGCAGGGTGGTGATACGATACTGGACAGGAAGGGGGCCCTGCCTTCTTGTGAGGCCACAGAATGGGCTGTTTGAGCAATCAGTCTGCCCAGCAAACATCCCATTAGGGTGTCATCCCAAACCCCCTCCATCCTCTGGCAGAGGCCCATGTCCAGGACACACCAGCTTGAAATGAGTCCCTTGGGGTCTCTGTGTTTTTTCTCCCTCGACCTCTCTCATATCTGACCTTTCTCTACCTCAGCTCAGAACTGACTTGGTAAAGGGAAGAGGCAGTGTGCAAAGAGTTCCACTGATGCAGCTTGGGTTCCATTTCCACCTGTATAATCTTGAACCTCTCTCTCATAGAAAGATGAGACTTGTTTCCTTCCCTCAATAAAGGTGTTTCTGACTCTGGGGAGAAAAAAAAGTGGTTCCCAGTAACCCTCATTTCCAGGAAATCTGGTGGTGGTTGGACTCCAGACTTTGTCTCTGAAGGAGACTAATTATTCAGGAGACAATTCATGGACCCATAGTAGCGTATCTCCTTCCTTTCAAGCGGTCATAGACTCAAGACTGCAGCACCAGGCAGATTATATAAATGTGAAGCAACCAGTGGAGGGCAATAGGGAGTGGTGGGATCTGTGGCTCAAAGGCACTGCCTCTCCTAAAGGCATTCAATTTCATGTTTCAAATACTGTGCTCAGCAAATCCAAGGAAGTCTGATTTTGATCTATTGCATAACTCCCTAGTTTCTTGATCTTTCTGGTGACACACTTATCCATAGCCATAGGGTCACAAAGTATTGACACAAGAGTAGAAAGACAACACATACAGAGACAGACTAAGCTACAAAGATACATGGAGCCATCTGTGTAAACACCATTATCAGGCCCAAAGGAGCAGAGCATAGGATACTCACAGAGGAGCTGCTCATCCTCAGCTTACTTTCCTGGCAACCTCTTGCCAATCTCCCACCCTCTACCTTCTCCTTATTTTGCCCACTGGGACCCAAGTCTGTTGCTCACCCCATTGTGCCCACTTCCCTCTCTCCCTGATGGTGAGACACTATAAAGCCCAAAGGGTGTAAATGGAAATGGTAGGGGAGCGCACCATACAGTTGACCCCTATGATAGAGCCAACACACATGCATCCAGGGCCCCTGGAACAGCCCTCTTGCTTTTGATCCTCACAGCAAGCCTGTATTGGGGCCGAGGACTGACAAGCAGTGTCAATATACTCCTTGACCTTGATATCAGGACAATGAATTACAATCCCAGTGGTTTAGGTCCCTGCTTGTTATAAAGTCCATCAGTATATGTGGTAGCTCTCTCCCAAAGACCACTCAGCAGCTCTAAGCCTTCCTAGATCCCTCCGCTGGGGACTCAGCCATAAAGCAGAGGCCCCAGGCACTCAGGCCATTAACCCTGGAAGGGTTCTGAGAGGAGATGCCAAGTCTGGGACTTTTCCACACTCCTCTGGTCCATTACATCTTTGGCCATCAGTGCCAGAACCTAGGCAACCTATTCCTGGGCTCAGTTATCTCAGCAAAACAGACTATCGATCCGTTGTAATAAAGAAAATAAATTAAAATCAAGTGCTCCTTCAAAGATTCTTGAGAACTGATTTTCAGATGATTCACTGGAGGGAATTGTCTGTGCTCCTGTCTCCTTCACTTTCAGGATTATAAATAACATTGATCATAACCAGCATCTTATCAAAGCTGGGATGTCCACATCTTTGGGAACAATTACCCAAATCACAGAAGAGGCAAGAGAGGACTCACTGAATAAGCTTTTGTCATCTTAGAGATGCGGGGTTGGTGGGGAGGGGGAAGTCCAAAGAGATGACCTCTGTCCTGTCTTAGAGGATGAAAGTGAGATATCTCCCAGAGCAGGAAGCTTGGCTGGCAGTTCATTTATTCAGCTTTCTCTGAGGTTCCCATTTTACATCCCTCTGGGCTTGGGTCTAAGGAGCTATGTTGAGATTTGCACATGTGTCCCTGATCCCTAGAATGACCCAGCAAGAGGAACTGAGGTTTGGCAGAGGACATTCTGCTTGTGGTAGAGGGAAGAGAGTGAGGCACCTGCCCCAGAAACCACGCGCCCTCCCCCCTTATCAAGGAATAAAGCAGAAAATCAAGCAGTACCCCTGGGACAGAGAAAGGGGCTAATATGCTCAGAAGCTGGAGACCGGATAAAATGACCCTTGCCTGAAATGGATGTCAGAGGAATGTCTCTGAGGAAATGTCATTCTACTCTCCTTGGAGGGCCCTAGACATAGCTGGTAATCCACCCCACTCCCCCCACTCCTGACCCCTCTACACACACACACACACACACACACACACACACACACACACATAAATCTTAATTGTGTCCGGGACTTTTTACAGCGCTAATTAATCATATTTAGGGCTGTTTCCAGCTGTTGCTGAGGGAAAGAAGGTCCCACACGCCTGTGACTTAGGGTAAATCCAATCAGATGGAGGAATTCTTTGATTCCGAAGAAGCTGAGCATGGGAAAGACCCCTCTAATCCCAGAACCTCTCAGACCCTGCCTGCCACCTCCTCTCCCCCACATCTGTCCTTGGAAGCTGATCTGGTCTGGGGAAGGGGAGGGGCTGGGGGCTAGAGGGGAGAGCGTAGGGACCAAAGAGATGGGTGAGGGAGGCGCCCCCTTGAGATGGGTTGACTGGAATCAGGACTTAGGCCCAGTGCCTCACTGACTTGGAGGTTCTGCCCTGTACTTAGGTCATTTAGTGGGCTCAGGGGGCCCACGAGTTACTACAGGAGACCAGGCCTGGACTAGTCAGACCAGTGGGTGGGCAGCACTGACCTAATTACAGCTCTGCGCAGCCAGCGTGGTCTGAGAAAGGGCCTCACCCAGGCCTTCTGCTTTCCTGTGATTTCTCCCCAAGCCCCAGAGGCATCTCTGTCAGCTCGCTTAGGCTCTCATACATCTCTCCCATTTCTGGGTGTGTTTCTCTCTCTTCTTAGGGCTGCATGCCATTTCAATGTCTTTCCCTGATGCCTGTTTCTTTTTTTGACCATTTTCTCTGAATTCCTAGCCCACCACCTCAGATTATCACAGAGATGCACTTGAAGATAGACATCTTAAGGGGAGAGGGTCAGAACCTGGCTGCTGCTAATACCTCTTCTTTGGTTTACACTGGTAGCCCATTAGGTACACATATGGAGCCAATACGGATGGAATGAGAGATGGGGAAGGTGGGATGGAGGGAGAAAAGCTGCTGCTGAGTAGTGGGTGGACAGAAAGGGACTACCCTGCCCCTTAGAGACCCAGATGGGAGAGGAAGCCTTCCCCAGGGTGGAAAGTGAGGGTGCAAGGTTATAAGAAGACCAGACAGAGACGAAGTAATGGTGACCCTATTCTCCCTGCTATGATGACCCCATCTCTGCATACCCCCTTGTTGAGGCCTTCTGGGTCCTGGCCTAACTGGGCCTAAATAATTGAGAAGTCCATTACAGCCTCGCTGTTTCCTCACTGTCAAGTGTAAACGCTGCACTGGTCGGTGGGGAAATGGGGCTAATTTGAATTGATAATAGGAAACGCAGGGAAAAGTCATCTATAGTGAGTGAGGAGCGAGCGATCCCCGAGCAGATGCTAAATCTTGTATAATGAAAGAATCTGCCGATGTCAATTATGTACGAGCGTCTTTGCAGTGGTTGGAGGCGGTGGGCGGGTGAGGGAGCGGAGGGCTGGGTGCATCCCATAAACCCAAACACCCATCAAAGGCTCATACATATGGAGCGGCGGAGATTACGGCATAAATTTGAATGTTATGAATGTGCATGAGGGACAGGCAGGAAGCCTACCTCGTAAGAGGGAAGGAAAGGGACTGTTTTTCAGTGCATGTGTACAAGGGAGCTTTTGTCCTTTGGGTCCCTCAGCTGGGTCTCCTCTATCTTAGCTGTGTCCCCTCTAAATTCAGTTATGTCCCAGGATGAGAAAAAAATGTCAGAGTCTAGGGGTGCTGGGGCAGGGTAAGGTCAGCTGTTCTTTGGGGGCTTTGGGTCTAGCTGCCCTTGACCCATTCAGAGTGTTGCCAGGATGGGATCTAGAGACTGATGTGGCCAGAGACCCAGAAGGCTATTTTGAAATATCTGTGATGTGAACATAGCTTCCCTTCTTGCCTAACGGAAGATATAGGAGAGACAGCGATGCTCACCATGGAATGGGTGGGGTGATCCTGGAAGACAGCCTGGAGGAAGAGGTCACAAGCTGTGCTATAAAGGGGGCCAACAGCTTAGAATGACAACATCAAGGACACATCTTCCTGGTCCTGGGTACAAATCCACAGCACAGATAGAAGTGTGTGCTTGTGGGTGCACGCACATACATGTGTGTGCACACCTACACACAGACACACACACAGACACACACACACACACACACACACACATACAGGTGGTAACAGGGCCCAGACCCCTCCATCGGTTCCCAACCTGCAGTTGCTCCCTGAGCAGACTCTGTGATTTGTGGTACAGGCCACCCAGGGACTTTAATCTTCACCGTGACAAATGCAATAAAAGGAACAATTTGGAGATCAGAGCTAAGGAAGACACATTTACAAACCCTTCCCCAAAGGTTGGATGGGGCTGTCACCATGTGATTTGTGCTGGAGATGAAGCAGGGAGGGGGAGAGAGGGAGGCAGAGAGCTGGAGAAGGCGGACTGGGGAAGAGGATGCCTCACCACTTCCTCCTCACCCTCTCTGCTGGATCCCAGTGGGGTGGGCTAAGCCGGCCTGTGCATGGTGGGAGGAGGCCTGGACCACAGGCAGCCACTTCCCCCTCCCCCCGCCCCACCCCCATCACGACCAGGGACCTCAACTCAATTACCAGGAACACAGGCCAAAACCACGAGCTTCAGAGATTCATCTCAGCAGTTCAGGGGCTCTATCTAGGGGAGTGGTGAGGGGGGGAGAGAAGGTAGGAGGAGAGAGAAAGGAGGAGAGGCAGAGGCAGAGTGGGCAAGATGTTTTAACAGAAAGACAGTGACATGTTAAGCTGCAGAGGGAGCCCCAAAGAAACCCCAATCTGGAAGAGAAATGAGAAGGGAGATTTCCCAACCAGGGCTCCTTGCTCAGCCAGACCCAGAAGGATCTAAACCTAGAGCAGCAGTGGGGTGGGTCTGGCAGGGGGCATTCACCCACCCATTTGATCTGGGAAGAAATCTATGGGAAGGTAGCTCAGCCTGGGGTTCCACCGGATAAGTTTATCTGGGGTCTGAGAACGAAGCTGGTAGATGGCCAAGCAGGACTCAAGACGCTGGTACAGTCTGGGAACTAGGGCCTCCCTTTCCTCTCTGAGTTTCTCCTTCCCTGTCTGAACAACAGGTCTAGGCTAGGAGATCTGTAAGGTGCCAGCTGCCTTACATCATGGGCGCTCCGAGTCCCAGGTTTCTTAGAACCAACAACAGGAGACTGGGTGAGAGAGAAAAGTGCCATCCTGCCACTCCCTGACTTTGCCTCTCTGTTGCTGTACTGGTTTACAAACACATATGCTCCTTTCTGTTGGATCTCAGCTCCGCTCCCCAGAGTTTAGGTCTTCAATTCTCTCAGGCACCCATACCCCAGAATAAGGGTTCAAAAGAAACTCTTTGGCCCTCTTTCTTCTTGAAAAACCTGGTCAGTCTTATCTTCCTACCAAGGCCATTTTGTCTCTAGCTCCTTCTACCCCATGCCCAAGTGGCCCCTTAGGAGATGTTCTCTCTGCCCCAGGGTGTAATTTTGTGGCCTCTGGGTTCCTTCTATTTCCCTAACTTTGAGTTGCCAGCAACTGAGATGTTAGTTTCCTTGATCAGTGCCCTCCCTACCCATCTGTGCTCTGTCCCCTGTCCCCAGCTTCCAACCAGGCTGAGAGATGCCATGCTGGCAGAAGGGAGAGGGTTTCTAGCCTGGGAGGGTTTGGTTTTTCATCTCACTCAAGGTCACACCTCAGATTTCCTCCACCCAGCTGCTGCCCTTGTGCATCTCCAGGTTGACTTGGTCCTCATACCCAGGTATGTGGGCCTGGTGAGTACCTAAATGTGGGTAGGAGAAAAGAGACTTTAGAAGTGTGTGGGCCTGACCCTCATTCAGAACTCCCTAGGGAAGACTGACACTCAGACTGGAACATCTGGTCATGGCCCAGCAGGCGCAGAGAAGTTCCCTTAGATAGACTGGGCCTCTTCAGGGTGGTGACTCAGGGCTGGATCTTGGTCTCCAAGGGAGGTAGGGAATTGGGAAAGCTGAGGAGGTGGAGGAATGAACAAAGGTATATTTTCTAAGCTCTAGACAAGGAGGAGTCGAGTCCCTGCATAGGAATGAATAGAGGGGCTTGTGGGGGCCAAATCAAAAATAGGCTGACATCCCCAAATCTCTCTCCAGCAGAGGGGCATAGACTGGAATTGTACAAACTCCATCCAAGTGAGTCCCTTGGAATAGGGTCCACGATGGACAGGAGACACAAAGGGAACCGAACTGCTGATTGCTGGTTGGGGCAATTCCCATGGTCCTCTGCTGCCTCCCTCTGGGAGAGGGCAAGAGGACCAGCCCTGTCCTCCTCCCAGCCCCTCCTCCTGGCTCCTCTCCACTGAACCCCATCCCCACCCAGGTCCCTGATTTCTCCTCAGGTCCTTGGACACTGTCCTCACCCCTGACCTCTGTCTCCCAGACTCCCTCACCCTCACCCCCACAGAAGGTATGAGAGAAAAGGGGGACTAATAGGTGAGCAAAAAGGGACTCTCTGGAATCTCTTCCATTCCCTGACTCCCCTCTTCAGAGGAAGAAAGGACTTTGACTTGGTTCACTCATTCACATCCTCCACGGGCTGCAATGGGAAAGGAAAACAGAGGAACAGGTCTGAGAATTGGCCCATACCCCAGGACATCTTCTTTTCCCTGGAGTCTTACTTTACCCAGAGACCAATCCTTCTCTGAGGCCAAAACCAAGGCCAGGCCCAGGCGGGATGGAGTCCACATTAACTGATGGTTCAGTATCTTTCAGTGCCCCTCCTACTGCTGGTGGGTTGATCCCAGCTGGGCAACCCCTGACCCCCAGCTCTGCTTACCTCCCACCAGGTTTAGTCCAATCCTGAGGCAGCTGAGCCCCAAAAGGGTGGGAGGGGGGAGGGGAAGGCCAAAGCAGGGTCAGAAATGGCCACAGGGTCACAGGGGCTCTAAGGAGGTACTTCCCCTCTAAAAGCCCTCAGACTTACCCAGCAGACCAGAGATTGATGAGAAAATAACAAAACAGTTGAGGAGAAGGTCATTTTGGGTCTCTCTTCTCCTTCATGTTCATACCCATTTGGCCTATGATTTGAGACTGTCCACTTATCCAGGACATCCTTACACTCACGCACACATGCACACACACACAGCTGGATTACATTCAGCCTCCATACTTCTGTGATAAATCATGGGGTGGAGACTAGTGCAAAGGGTTTGAGGGGGAGGGCACATCAGGAGGCTGGGATAGCAGAGGGAGCAGGGCTCCCTCTGGCACGCACAGTGTGGGTACTTTGGGGGGAAGCAGTGGAGTGAGAACACATGGGGGGCTGCAGGGTATCAGGCAATGGAGAGAGACAAGAAGTAGATGCACAGCCAGAGGCCGAGTAGTGGTTGCCTCTAAAGGGAAGGCTTCAGGCCATTCTGCTTGAGCAGAATCCCATGGTGATCAGAGGCCCAGGAGCTGGTAGACCAGCACACCCTGTCCTCAGTGAGAGGTGGGCTGGCTCAGGCCTCCTAAGGCCTTCCCAGAAGGAAGCCAGTGGCCAGGAATATTCTGAAAGTGTTAGTCGCTCAGCTGTGTCTGACTCTTTGGGACCCCATGGGTTGTAGCCCGCCAGCCTCCTCTGTCCATGGACTTCTCCAGGCAAGAATATTGGAGTGGGTTGCCATGTCCTTCTCCAGGGGATCTTCCCAACCCAGGGATCGAACTCACATTGCAGGCAGATTCTTTACTGTCTGAGCCATCAGGATTTTTCTTCCCTTCTAATGTTAAGAGGATGGGCAGGTGAGAGTTGGGTGGCAGAGCTCCTTTCTCCCCTCCCTCCCAGAAGGCTAGATTCATCCACTCTCTCCAAAATCAGTCATCCCCTGATGAGATCCACCCTCCCACACAGAGCTTCCCAACGACCTCCCAAAGGGAAAATCAAACCAAACAGGTCCTCTCTAACCTGCTTGCAATCCTAAACTGAACCAGCTCAGGGTAGGAAGAGGCAAAGAGGTGACTGTGGCTTTCCACCCATGCCTTCTTTGCCTGAGCCCAGTCTTATGACCTCTTGCCCTTTAGTGGGGTATAAGGTCAACAGGGTTGGGTGGGTGGCCATTTTGACCTTGAGAGGCCTGCCCCTGTCTTTATCTATGCCCTGCCAGAGTCCAGTGCCCTTTGGAGGTTTATAGTCACATAAATCGCAGAGTCCCATGCCGGGCTTGGAGCCTGCAACTATAAATAGGCACGAGGTAAACAAGGTGGCAGATGCAGGGGCTTGGGACTAGACAGAAATCTGCCCCTCTTTGCCTGGGCTGGGGCCAAGGCACATCCGTGGAAAGGGATATCTTCCCTCCCCTCTTCTCTCTCCTCCCCGGCCTGCTGGCTCCTAGCTTCCTGTGCTCTGGGCTTCTAGTCTTTTCCCTCTGGGGATTGTCTTCTAAGGCGGCTTTCTGCTACAAAGCTTCCCAGGTCACCTGTCCTGTTTCTTCCGAGTCAAGACGGGAGGGGCTGGTGGTGTATCCGTTACTTATAGGGCCCCCCACCGCCTCTCTCCGGTTGCTTCACTTTGCCTGCAGCCTCTGTACCGTCTTGAAGTGGTACTGCTGCTGCCAATCACCAGGCTCTGCCACTAGGGGCGCCCTGATCCCTTCTCTATCCTAATAGCTCGTGCGGGCCTGTGTGCTACGGAAAAGGCAATGGCAACCCACTCCAGTACTCTTGCCTGGAAAATCCCATGGGCAGAGGAGCCTGGTAGGCTGCAGCTCATGGGGTCGCGAAGAGTCGGACACGACTGAGCGACTTCACTTTCAATTTTCACTTTCATGCATTTGAGAAGGAAATGGCAGCCTACGCCAGTGTTCTTGCCTGGAGAATCCCAGGGACGGCGGAGCCTGATGGGCTGCTGTCTATGGGGTCGCACGGAGTCGGACACGACTGAAGCGACCCTTCAGTCGTGTCCGACTCCGTGCGACCCTATACGCTGTAGCCCGCCACGCTCCTCTGTCCATGGGATTCTCCAGGCAAGAATACTGGAGGGGGTTGCCATTCCCTTCTCCAGGGGATCTTTCCAATTCGGGGATCGAATCCGCGTCTCTTGTGTATCCTGCGTTGGTCGGTGGGTTCTTTACCCTGATGCTATAACAACATTTTTCAACTAGGAAACTTCATAGTTTCAGAGAGACTATGTAACTCCAGAGAAACAAACTAACCCCTTACCCTCCAAAGTACAAAACGTAAGAGTGTACAGATTCCTGTCATTTGAATTAATAGCTTCTAGGTTACTTGGATCTCTGGGCTGTACCAGCTGAATTCTAAGCAGAGAATCCGCTTGAGACAAATTTAGGGGGCATTGCTTTCTGGATCTATCCCTGCCTCCCCTCTGCCCAAACCTGGTCCACTTTCCTGCTCTGTACTTGTCCTGGCTCCAACAGGTTCTCAACCTCCAAAGAGTTTTCTGAGCAATTTCAGAAAACTGGCCCCACAATTATCTTTCTTTATCCCTTTTGTAAGTCTCAATCTTTAACTGTGAACTTCCTTCTTTCATCCCAAGTTGGGCTCTCTAAACATATTCATTCACCAGTTTAGAATCAGAAATTAGAGCTGAAAAGGACACCCCCCCCCCTTTTTTTTTAACCAATGAGAGATCTGAACTCCAGAGGGTTTAGGTGTTTCTCATCATATTTGCATAACTAACACTGGCTTTGTTGCTAAGGCTGGAAACACACCTTTATGAAGCCTGGCTTCTCCAACCAGACCTCCTCCTTCCAGCTCCTAATGGCTTCCTTTGCCCCCTGGAAACAGGCTTTCTATCTTTCAAAGGTCCATTCTCCTTTGAGCCCTGTCTCCAGCTGCCTTCTCACATAAGCGGGAAGGAATGGACAGGCTCTGAATCACAATGAATGGCTGAGTCTTACATGGCTGTTTCTAGTACCTTCTTCCCTCCCCACCCCCCCACCCCGGCCCCCATGTCACGGGGTCCTGATGGCTTACTGAGCAAATGATTGTGGAAGAATGACCTCCCAGAATCCCATTTGGATAAGGCATGCAGGACTGAGAGGCATCATTCCTGCTGTGGGGGGTTACTTCCCTGGTTGCTCCTTCATTTTCCTTCAGCATGTCAGTTCCCTAATTTGGAAGGCAGGGTGGGACCAAGTCCTGCTCCATGAATGATGTCCCCTGTGCCCTGGGCATGCAGTGCCCAAGTGAGCACAGGTACATGCACACACACACACACACATATTCACATTCTCATCACCAACCTATTCAAGGGTTTCTAGACTAGGAGTAAGACCAGAATCTCAGGACACAGAATCTTTTGTCAAATGAGTCACAAGGAAGGGAAGACAAAACCAGGATTAGACCTGAGGGGTAGAGACATGAGTTCGTGCAGTTCTCTGAGAGCAGAGGTGAGAAGGAGGTACAAGTAATGCTGGTGAGTGGGAGCGGCCTGGCTTCCTGATAGCTGGGAAGGGTGTCTGACTCAAGGTGTCAGAGTGAATGTAATCCACAGGAGAGAGGAAAGATGCTAACAGAAGTCAGACAGGAAGTGCAGTTACCCCAGGGTACTCCCATCCTAGAGCTGGATTGGAGCTCCCAGATACCATGTGGAAGTGTCTGGGATGTGTGTGGGGCAGCTGGAGGGATGGCCATGATCTATCCAGCACCTGTCCTGCCCCCGCAGGCTGATGATGTAACAGTAGAACAATGTGGCTGCGGAGAAGAAGGGGGGCTTTGGAATCTGGGGGAGGACTGGTCCAGTTCTCAGCAATGTGGCTGGGATAAGGCAGCTGTCGTCTCTGCTCTGAGTGCAGACGGATCCCCTGGCCCTTCGGTGATCATTCAGCCTGGTTATTCTCACCTTAATACCAGTCCTTCAATCATGGGTTGGCTCATGAGCTCTTCTTTCAAGAAACGAAAATGATTCGGGCTACAGCTGTCAACCACATAGACTCTAATCAGAGATCAGACCAGGCACAGAAGAGACCCTGCCCATGACTGAAACAGAGGCCTTCCTATAGGGACTGGGGCATTCAAACGCCTGGAGGAGTCCTTATTCTAGACCCCTAAGCATCTACTCCCTCCTTCCCACACCCACATCTCACCTCCCTTGTCGTCTGATGCCCCTCACTGGCTCATGTGCCTTCAATTTATGTCTCCCACAAAGGGTTTCTCATTCAGGCCCTCTTCATGCCTTGCAGCTGGTCTGTCTGGAAGGCCTCACCTTGGTCTTTGATGATCTATCACCCTAGCCCTCTGAAGGACTTCATCAGATTCCCTGAGAACATTTTGGATGTGAACTTGCCTATAGATTTGGTGACTACAGTTGTCTAAAATGTTCCAGAAGCTCTGTGGACCAGCCTAGGACAGAGAGACTGGAGAGCTGGTAGGACTCTCCATCCCCCAGCTTGACCTGCTTCCCTTCTGCTTCTTCATCCAGGCTTCTCAGGTGATTGGATGATCAGAGAAATGATCTCAGTAACCACTTTCACTCCTTTCCCCTTCCTTGTCCCTAACCTGAAACCCCAGGTTGTCACTCTCCAAACTGTGCTTGAAATCAGCAGCCATGTCTAACATACTCATGTGCCCCAAACACAATACCTCACAATTTAAGGGTTCAATAAATATTTACTGAATCAGTCCTCAAACTTCTTGAGTATATTTCCTTCTTTTCTCAGTACATGGTTCTGTCAACAATCACACACTTTTAAAATTCCCAAGGCAGGTTTTGAGGAGCTGTTCAGAGGCATTAACCTCTTTTAGTGTCAGATGCTGAGGAGGAAATGCGCTGATGTCCAGGTCTAGGACCAGAGCTGAGCACATGGCCTGTCTGCCTCCCCTGAGCCTCCAGGCCCCAGGCGGGATTGTCTCGCCTCACTCATCCTTGCCGCCAAGGCCTCCTCGGCTGTATTTATATACACTAAAGCCTCTGCCCGAATAAAACATCCATGTAAAATCCAATTTCCTCAGAATCTCTTTTGGAGCCTGGGCCTGAGATGGAGTAGGTAACCCCGGCCGTAACTGCCTGAACCACTCCTGCTGGCTGCAAAGGTGAGGCCCATTTTTCAATTATCTATCTGCTCTGACAGCAGCGGTCCAACCACCGAGCCAGGGAAGGGGGAGGAGGAGGCAGAGCTGGGGAAAAGGGAGAAAGAGGGCAAGGGCACAGTTGGAAAGAAAGAAAGGGAGAAACCTATAGACAGGCGCGCGGGAGAGACCCTGCACGTGGCACCCAGTAGGTGCTCAAGAATTATTTGGAAAACTAGCGTTTGTAAGAGTGAATTGGGAGGGTGGGGGAGAGGCGAGGAGAGAGGCAGTGGGTGGAGAGAGGGAGAGAAGGCAAGGGAGGGGGAGGGGGGAGGGGAGGCGAGCGTGGATGGAGCCAACAAGAGGCTCCTGTGTCAATCCGTGGAAACGGGAGGCAGAGTGATGCGGTCACAGCTCCTGCCATCAATATCCTCTAATATAAATGTCAGTGATGCTATTTTCCGCGCAGTCATTTCGCACACTGCTGATTACATTAACGTATAATGGAGGGGCGCCGGCTCCACTGCTTTCTCCCCTAACCCTCCCCCCGGTGATGTGTCAATAGCCGCCTCCATGAACAAGTCAATTTTCTGCAGGCTTGGCAGCGGAATAAATCTGCCCGGCTATGGGGAGAGCTGGAGATATTTATATACCCGGCTCTTGCCTCCCGTGTGCGCGCGTGCGTGTGCGCGGCGGGCGCGGGCGCGGGCTTGCGGCGGGCTAGGGGGTGGGGAGGGTGGGGGCGCGCCGCCGAACTGAATGATTTCCAGCCTGGACTCAATAAGAGGAGAATTTAGAGCGGTCCCTGAGCTGGGCTCCCAGAAACAGCCTTACACGTTTATTTTCCTTAGCTGAACAGGAAAGGCGAGAATTATATGTGGATTTATAGGGCAGGCGCAGCTCAACCCAAATGCTCCCGCTCCGGGGGGCGGGAAGCGTGGGGGCGGGAGGGAGGCGGCGGGCAAGGGGCGGACCGCTGGGACCCCGGCTCGAGCCTCTGCGGGTAGGGGCTCACCCCCCTCGCTAGTCGCGTTAATTACATTTGTTCTTGTCCTTCGTGAGGGCGAGACTTCGGCGCAGCCCGCGTGGGGGTTTGAGTGGGGGGGAAGGCACAGGCCAGGACCGCCTGGAGATGGGGGGGGGGGGCGGGCAGGAATGGGGACAAGGAGAGAATGGGAAGAGGGGGGCTGTCAGCTTCAGCTCAGAAGCGGATCAATAGTACGAGATCTAATGGGCTAACTGCCAAGCGGGCGCACCCAGGCGCTGCCCCGCGGGGGCGGGATGGAGCGGGCGAAGGACGAGAGAAAGGAAGGGGGGTGGGTAGGAGAGGGAGTGAGGACGGGAGGGGGAAGGGCAGGAAGAGTGGGCGAGATGGGGGAGGAGGAAGAGAGATAAAGAGATAAAATTGAGAAAGGGACAGAGGGAGAGCGGAAGTGAGGGGGGACAGGACAGTCTTCGTGGGGGTGTCTCTTCAACATCCTTCCCCCACTCGTCTCTGGAAAGAAGGAACCTGTCCCGGAGCGGCCAGACCCCCGCTGCCGCCCGCCCCCAGCCTCAACTCTGCCACTGAGCCGCCAGGGGGCGGCGCGACCCTGTGCTGTCCCCGCAGATCTCCGCGCCACCTCGCCGGGGCTCTAGTGACCCGTCGCCTCCGACGCACGGTCCCCGCGCGGTGCCCTCTGTCCTTTCCTGGAGGCCTCCCTGCGAGGCCGGGTTGGGAGTAGGGCAGCTCGGCCCCTCCCGGGGCCCCGAACAGAAGAAACTTTCTGATTTTTTACAGTGCCCAGCATGGCACGGGGAAGTGCCTCGGGGCCTGGATCACCGGGCCAAGGCCTAACCAGGGTTCCCCAAAGATACCCAAGGCTGCAGCTGACACGGCTTCGGAGGCGATGTGGGATTTTTGGGCCTTCGCAACCCAACGGCGCAGCGCAGGCGAGTCTCTGGGACAGTCCCCGCGCGAAGGGTCCTTCTGTGTGTGCTGTGCGGGCGCTAACGAGGCCAGCCAAGGTCGCCGGGATCAATGCCCAGTTTTAACTCTTTCGGTTCCTGGCCACTGTTTGGCCCCTAATCTTCCAGCTATAGGCGAATCCTTTTCTCAGTTCCTGCCTGTCCCTTCCCAAACTGAGAAAATAAAATACAGCCCCACAACCCTACTGGCAAATTCTGCCACCCAGTAGAGGGGAGCCTGGTTCAATGGTTCTAAACCTGGGGGCATATCAGAATTACTTGAGGGAGCTTTTCAACATAAACGTTGTCGATCCACATGCACTCGTATTGTAAGGGGTGTGTATGGGCCTGCAGGGGTTCCTGGAAACATGCACTTTGTCAAAACTATCCAGGTAATTCTGATATATTCCCATACAGGCATTGCCTGAAGAAGGAATGACTATTGAACATTTTTTTCCTGTTTGGTATGGTAGCTCAGCCTGGGCTCTTTGCCCTCATCAAAATGTCTATATGTGTCTCACTGTGTGTATGTGTCATTGGGTACCTGTGTCATCAGTAATCATTGTTTTTATGCATCTCTTTGTGCGTCCTCTATGTGTAGATGTCACGTGTTGTCCTGTGTGTCATTGATGTTATCCTCAGCGTTGAGAGCCCCTGTTGTGTGTGTCTGTTGTCATACATGCCTGTCCTGATGAGAGCAAGCATGGGTCTCATGATTTGTGTTGAGCACATCTCTGTGGGCCCCATTGTGGGGCACAGCCATTGTCTCCACGTCACTGAGAGTGTGTGCTGGCAAGAGCTCATGACACAAATGGAACGAAGCTGATCTGCCCCAGAAGCAAAGGCAGCAATGACCTTCTTTTTCCAATTATATCCTGGTCAGAGGTGAGCGACCTCTCCCCACTGAGGCCGCTTCTTGTCATGCAAACTGAGCAGAAGGATGGAGATTAGAGGAATGTGACCGAGTCACGTGTGAAAACAATCAGCTATCAATGAACCCTGATCAATGCCCCAGATTACAGATGAGCCCAGGGCCAGCAGCCACTTCAGAGTTTTTCCCAAGGAGAAGAGAAAGCATAGTACACAATAGCCGTTCCCAGAACACTGTCACACACAAGTACCACACCCAGAGACACTCAGGCACTTATACAGTCTGAGTACAGGTAGGAAATGCCTTGGGGAGAGCTGAGCAAATGAATGGCCATAGGTACTGAATTGGTGGGCATCTATTGTTAGTAATAGGCAGTTATTGTTTTTGCTAAGGACATAGCCTTTATTCAGCTGGTAGCGGAAAGTGTAAAAGCTTGTGTTGAGTGTTTTCTATTTTAAGTCTGGAGAGTTAGGATTCTAAGTGGGTCACGGGAGGCAGTGTGGGGATTTGGAGGAAACGCTGACGTCAGGATCAGAGCAATAGAGGGCTGTGTTGAGGGGGTGGCAAAGGAAAGTCTTTGGTCAGCTGTGGGCAGGGGGCAGGTGTGCAGCGGATGGGCTCCTGGGACCAGGGCATCTGTCCTTAGGACAGCTTGAAACCAAGCTGCGATGTGAGAGAGCTAAGCTTCCCAAGGGCAGGGCCGACCCTCACCACAAATATGCTCCAGGACAAAAGGCAGAACAGAGAGAACTGGGGAAAGGGAGCCAAAACTTCTGAAGGTCAGCGCCATGAAGGGTCCTCGTGACTAGTCTTTGGAGGGAGGTAGAGGCAGGAATTTGGGGGACTGTGA